CCGAAATCTTCTCTGTGTATTCATGGTCCTGTCGAACCGTGAGCTTCTTAGGGTGTGGACTCGAAATACCTCCAAAACTGGCTGTGTGGAAATCTACTGAATGCTTGGCGATGAGATTGCGGCCCAGAATCGAGGGTCTTGAAGAGTTCTCGACACTCGCTCTCAGACAAGTCGCCCAAGCCTTGGAATATCTTGGAATAGGCAACGTCATGAATCATGATGATCGTGTTCGTCCCGCCGGGAAGCCGAGCTGCCGACACAAACAGATGCCCCAGATGCATGAGATCACATTGACATGCATCATGTCAGGTTCTGTGGTCGTTTGCAATTTTCCAGCAATATTGAGGCCATGTGCCAACAAGCAGGAATGCCGATCCCAAGTAAGGAGTCTTCAAGTTTCTCCTCGCACTTTGTTGGGATGATGTCGATCATCAATGAATTGTCACATCCGTCAGTATCGTCACCCGCGTCGTCGTCATCATCAGCATCGTCATCATGATCATCATCACTCTTAACAGCATTACCATCATCATCACCGATGCCATCACCATCATCAGCAGCAGAAGCAGCTGCATGCGAAATGGCGTGGCAAGAAAGCCGGAAGGCTGTGCATGCACGACGCGGTTGCAGACAATTCTCCTTGCTGTAGAGTCTGCAGAGATACCGTTATGAACGCTGCGGAAACACACAAGCATTGCACCCCGGTCAAAACAATTCCGGGAGTACACATTGACGCACGGCCTCTCAAAATGAGTTCACGTTCATGCGGGCGCAGTTGTTACAATCGCAGAGGCTGAGCTGAGGCGGCACAACTGAGGCAAAGCCTCAAACTACTCGTTCACAAGCTGAAAAGGTGCGGCCGCGGCACTCGACAAAACGGAGACCAACTCATCCTCGGAGATCTTGCCGTCGCCATTTCGGTCGAAGCGGCCGAAGGTTGCCTTCGCGGCACGTCATCTTTTGCGTCATGCTGGCAACTGGCAAACCAAAGGCCGTTAATGTAGCGCATATAACCCTATGGAATTCCACGACTCCACCCAAAAGCATGCCAAACAATGCAGCAGATGAAGTCACTGCAAGTGTTGCCAAACACACTGCAAGAGGTTGCCTTCAAGCGGTTGATGCTCTGCGAATTCCAGTTCGCGCTCCGCAGCGAATCGGGCCTTGCCGTTTGTCGCCCAAGACTAGCTCAACTCAACAACAAAGCCTGAGGTGTGAAGCGCAAGCCCTCAACTCTTCGCGCTTATGCACGCCCAAACAACCATGTCCAACAAGACCTGAGCCCTCAGAAGGGGCGATTGAAGCTGCAGACGCCATGGGCCTCATTACACGCCTGCCACAGCCAGGCCAGTACACGAAGAGGCTAGTGCCTGCACCATCATCGCCGGCCTGATACAGGTACAGAGAAGACGACCTGCACTCCACCGAGGAAGTCGGAAGTGCCAAGGACCCTAAACCTAAACTACAGAAGTAAGAGCCTGACACGATCTTACACGCGTGCACTGCCCGGCTTTACCGATGTCGAGCTCGGTCCTTGCGGCTTTGACTTGCTTTCTCTAGGATATTGATGTTGCTTCTCTCTTCTTTGCCACGCTGCCACGGAGCCCTTGCAAACGCTGACAACGGAAGCGCTGCTCGCTTGAGAGAAGACCATCTTCTTCTCCAACGTCATACTCTCCTGCCCTCTGGCCTTGCGGTGATAGCAAATGGCGAGGACCGTGCCGATGGTACCCTTAGGGATGTTGGTGCTTTCGCCCTTCCACGTGACCCGATCGCCTGCACGGCGCACTGCAGGGTTCAGATGAAAGGCGCCCTTTGAGCCCCACACATGCGAAATGCGGTTCCGTTCTGCCCTCTCTGGCCTACGTAGTCCTGAGCCCTGAAACCTGTCCCAATTCAGTCCCCCAGCGGTGGTCGAGTTACTAGTTTCGTGTTACTAGGAGCACCCTCCCCAAAACGAGCCTTTACTAGCGAATGGTTCATGTCCTCGCCATGATTGCTTTCTGTCTATGCTGAGCCCCAGTGAAGCCTCTCTGAAATGGCAGCAGCACCAATTGGTGAGGCTTCATGCTCCACCAGCTGTTCGGCCACTGCACCGCGATCTTCTCCTTTCTCCTCAGTCAGCCATGTTGCGGATCTGAAGATGGAGCACATGCAAATCCGTCCAGTCATCCATCCATCCATCCACCCACCCATCCATCATTATCCATGCTTGCGTGCCCGCCCGCCCGCCCGCCCGCATGCATGAACACTCGGACGCACACCCTCACAACACACACACACACACACGGACGGACACGGAGACGGTGGATCAAAAACGACGTCGGCTTACAACTACTGCTCTCCATGATGCCTTAGTATTTCCTCGGAGTTCAACACACTTGCACAGCACTTGAGTGAGACCTGCAGGTGCACCTTGAGACGTCTCTCAAGGTTTCCCTTCCAGTTGCTTAGCTTCGTTGGACCAGGATTGCGACTGCACCGCTTGGAATCAAGGCTTCCCAAACAATAAATAAAATGACATAGTATAGCATGGCATCGAACAGCACAGTGTAGCATAGCACAGAACAGAATAGCATAACAGAGTAGGAAATAAGAAAGCACAACGATACATAGCAATATCGTAATATGGTAGATTATCGTATGTTGTGCTTTGCTATGTTATGCTATGATCGGCAACATAGCGAAGCACGACGTGACTTGACTTGACAGAACGGAACCGGAAAGCCAGCCTGACAAGAGTCGCAATCCGCAGCGCGGCCACAACTCAACACGACATAACGTCGCATCGCTTGGCCTCGTATAGCATGGCACGGCAGAGCATCGCATAACACAAGCACAGCATCGCATAGCATGACATAGCATGGCAAAGCACAGCATAGCGTAGCATTACCGCGAGAGTTCTGAAACTTGGTGGGGAAGGAGCTTGAAGCTTGGGGGGGAGAGCCACCACTCCCCCGTCCTTGCCGTCAACTGCCCCTGCACCATTCCCGCCCCCCCCCGCCCAACCCTGCTCACAACAAATGCCTCTGCACCACCACCACCACCACCACCACCACCTCCCCCTCCGCAAGGTGGCCACCACCAACACCCAGCACTTCGTAGAACAGAACCTCCATTGGAGGACTACTGTTTTACAGCCTTGCTCCATATTTACGTGTATCCCAGCTATAGATCCTTACGAGTCTAGCTCGATTCACTCCCCGAATACATTCAGGTTGAGTGCCAGAGGGTCAATTTGATCACTTCTCCGATGTGACCTTCAGGGATGTCCTCATCCGAGGACTTCCACCAAACCCACTTCCCGGGCTGGAGCCTGCACACACACATACATGTGTAGAATATATATATATATATATATGACGTATACAAACAATATGTATTACCTGGAGTTATCTTTTCTTGTCTTATCCTAGCTTCTCTTACCTCAAAGATTGGACTACAGGTTGGATTCTATACCATCTTAAATACTAAACTTGTCTATGATGTCCAATGCCATGACATTGTTGTGGCATACATTATCTTTAACACTATGTTACATAATATTGGGTATACTTAGATATAATATTAAATATTTCGGTATTTACGATCTTATAGACCATATGCATTATGCGGTTACAGGCAACAGATGCTACTCTTAAAGCCTTGTATGTTACCTAGTAATTTTTTCGAACTATATGTCAAATACTTTGTTGTTAAATACTTTGTTATCGTAGAATATAACACATATATGTCTATTCATATACATATGTGTGATATTTTGTGTTGAAAGGTAGTATATTATGCGTTACTACTACTACTACTACTACTACTACTACTACTACTACTACTACTACTACTACGACTACTACGACTACTACTCCTACTACTACTACTCCTACTCCTACTCCTACTCCTACTCCTACTGTTACTGCTACTCCTACTCCTACTCCTACTCCTACTTCTTCTGCTACTGCTACTGCACTGCTACTGCAACAGCTACTGCTACTGTTACTACTCTCATTGCCATTACTACTGCTATTGCTATGGTTATCACTATGACTATGAACAGTATGTGTATATATATATATACAGACATGTATACATACATACATATGTGGATATGTATATTTGCAAAATATGGTGTTGTATACAGGTATACATAGATACTCGTGTATACTGAAAAAGTACGTACATATATGAGATATACATATTAGACAGACAAATAGGTAGGTATATACGTACACATATGCATATATACAGACATGTGCATATAACTATCTGTATATATACATAGATATATATATACATATATATGCATGTGTGCATCCATGCGTATGCAAAACGTATTATGTAGCATGTTGTATAGTTTGCTGTACTGTGCTGTATAATCACAGACTTCACGATATTGGATTATGATGTGCTATAGTTTACTATATCAAAAAATGTGCTCACTCATGTTATTGTACTGCAGCTGCAGTCTAACATGTTGTCTTTTCCTACCTTGTACTATGATGTATGTACGATACAACGCTTTATTGTATTGTATCTGTTGCATTCTATCGAACATTACATTAGGCTACACTACACTACAGTAGCTTATGTTACTTATACTTATATTCATTTCCTAATACAAACTGGATCATACAGCCATCTGATATTGTGCTATACTATGCTATACTCTGTTATGCTACATAATAGCACTCATTGTATTATGTTACGCTACTGTACTCTGTGATATATTTCACTCCATTGCTGTATAAGATGATACACTCTACCATCTATAATATACCATATTAGAATATTATGTTGTGGACATCGAAATTATTCGAAATTACTGCAGCACAGCATAGGCTCACTGTGCTAGCATTGGCTACCGCCAATTCGTTTTGTGCTATTGCATGATGACACAGCACGACTATCGGCACCCTTTCGATGTGACCGTCTCTCCAATGGCTCGGAGGTGCTGCACCCTAAACCTTCAAACCCTAAAGCCTAAACCCTAAGCCGTAAACCCTAACGGTCCTGTGAGGTACTAGCTCCGTGACCTTGAAGTCCCAATCACCTGACAGGCAACGAAACAGCAGGACAGGTGGCACTACAGCTCCAAAAGCACTCTATAATCCCATAACGGTGCCCAGAACACTTCTGAAAGTCAATGACTCAGTCTTTACAGCTCTTGCTCTGTCCGAAACAAAGGCCCTCAAACTGCCGCATGGATTCATGGATCGTCCTTCTTACAGTGACCGAACCCTTTAACCCCTGGACTCAGCTACAATGGCTCCAAAGCTGGATAAGAAGCTACACGAGCACTGTCACCGCCTACAGTGTTGTGGCACGGCCGCCATTACTTGCAACTCAATGAAGAAGCACGGACACAGCCGTGACAGATGGATGAGAGAGGGTCAGAGAGGGTCAGGGATGCAGGAATCGGCAGACATTTGAGGACTATGGGCTCGTGGCACGCTTAAAGGCCTTCGCGGGTCGAAGAAAGATCAGTTCTGCAATTCTGGAGCAGTTCTTGAGGCCTCAAAGCTCAGGATTTTCTCTCTCTTCCAAGTCTTGGCAGGCTCCGGGATGCTAAGATAGGGGCCTTAATGACTAGAATAGGGTATTGGGGTATATCATACTAATAGTTATAATAAGGATCCCACAAAGTACCTGGTATAATTAGGCACTACTGAGGCCCCCAATCGCACTCTTTGGACTTTCTGGGGGGTTAGAGGCCTTGGCTACGAAGCGATGAGGATGCTGCCGGCCTTTGGGAAAGCGGACATTGATGCGTGCAGTCTTCATTTTGAGGTCATAGACCTCTCCCACATGTCCTTCCTTGTATGCTCGAAGCTGCTTGGGGTCTTTGGTGGAGACAACAGAAGTTCACAAACGCCTTCCCAAGAACAGCCCAGTCGCCGGAATGTCGTCATCATGCCCAGTCCAGGTCACGAACATTTTTGGTTGAATGGGAGACAATTTGACCTCTTTCGGCATGAAGGCTTCCTGAACCAAGTGCAATCCCAAAAGGCCCACATAAGCGTATCAAACAGCCGGTCTCGATGACTTGAGCAACTCTTTGCATACACGATGGTCCTCTCTTGGCTCCTCCTCTTTGCCGCTACTTGGGAAACGCACGACAACCTTCCCTTCCTCTGTGTCGCGGGCAACACCCACCTGTTCGGCTTTGCAGGACAAGATTATTCTGTGCAGTATGGGCGCTGAGGGAAATCGGTAGTCTCTTTGAAAGGGCAGCTGGTAGCTTACGGCCAATCAGAAACATATATTAATGTAAACTATCAGCTTTAGCCCTGCTGCCGGCGCCTCGCCCTGCTCCGAGAGAATCCATGACTTCTCCTGCACGCGAGCCAGGGCTAACTCGTGGGGGTCGTACTGGCCGCACTTGCCTGACGGGCTGTACCTGGCTGAGGTGCCCCAACAAAGACGCGACTCTACCGTACTCTCCCATTTATCCAGCAGAGAAAACAGGCTTGAAAAGCTCTATGTTGCAGGCTCTGGTACGCAGCAATCTTGCCATTTTTCATGTAAAAGCCCACAAAGCTCGCAAGTTCGCTTTCAGGGTGGTCCAGGATGTGCACCCAAGAGCGATGCTGGAAGTCGCATCGGTGGATACATTCCGGCGGTGCTTGAATCAGGTTCTCCTTCATCGTCACCTGCACGTCCCCTCCACCGTATTCCTTGGCCACTACTGATGCTAGACTCCCTCACCAAAATATGCTTTCGAGCGGAACTGCTGCTGACCGTAGATTCCTAGATTCAGTTGAAACACAACCCTCCGCTCTCAAGGAAGTTGAAAAAAAAACAAGTCAGCCCGGAATCGTACACATAGCCAATATCCGAGAATGGCACACCCGGCACATCGGCGACGTGAACCCACGTCTGCTTCTGGAACCAGGATTTGTAGAGATTCTCATGTGACAGGTCGCCTTGCCACGGATGCGGTCGAATTGTCCGATCCGGGCCCTTAGCTCTCAGGATAGACTTTTCTACTGGCTTCCTCCTTCCCGGTAGCCGTCGAAAGCATGTGTGGGATTTCACCCCCTGTTTGGAGGCACTGCTAGGAGGAACATATTTTGTAGGATTGCAGCTTGCAGGGCTATAGGCCCTCTGCGTATTTGTGGCTCCCTGTACCCTCTGAAGCCTTCCGGCATGCCTGCTGCCAGCGGGCAGGGAAAAGTGTTCCGATTTTTCCATCGAAGCCTCGAGTAAGACTGACCCAGCCGAGATCTCCTCTGGGAATGTCCTTATCGGAATCCATCCAGTAGACAAAGTGGTCTTTCTGGATGCGCATAGTTCCGTCGGGTTCCCTGAGAGCCATGGCCAGTCAGGAAAAGGTGGTTGCAATGCGGGAACCACCACCTTTTCTTCTGGGCTTGAGCCCGAGCTTGGCTCGACAGCACCCTGCTTCCCTCTGGGCTTTGTGTTTGCTTGCTATCTAGCAATTCTAGCAGCACAGATACGACCCCGGGACACGACGTCCAAGTAGTTCTGCTCACACAACCTGCAGAAGCAAGCCACAACACAGAAATGGACGATGAAAACTCAATTCCCAACGTCGCCTGCAAGATCCACAGGTGAACCGGAACTTCACGGAGATTCTGAATCTATCTAGCACGACTGCTTCGGCCCTGATCCAAGAAGTGCTGTTTGCACGCATCCACAATTCCGAGTGAGCACTGTTTTCTTCGGCCACCGACGGATCCAAGTGCTCACTTGGATGAACAGGGCCCGGCTTCTCTGCGTGACGGCCTTCCGGTACTTGACGGACATGGGGAAGCGATTTGGTGCAGCTTAACTGGGTTTAGGTCGAGATGCGGCAAAGAGAAGCGAGGCATGATCACACCCTTTGGCGGCAAAGTTGTGGTTGGGCTCCGGGACACGACGCTGGGAAAACCAGCATGGACATTGCTAGTAAGCTTTCAGATTACTGGTTTCTTGTTAAGGAACTTAATCTAAGTTACCATACTACGGAAACCATACTACTTACTATAGATGCCTTTTCTGGCAGCTTTAAAAAAATCCCCAACACGAACCCAGAGTAGGCTCTCGAATCCTTCTTTTTTCAACTGCCCTCGCCTTGCATCGGCCGATCTTCGGCTGAAAGCTACGAGCTCAGCGGCTCCGCAAAGCTCGGCGGATACCAGCCCTCCGTTGGTCCAAGAGACTGGGCCGCACGTTGAACGATTCGGGCCCACTCCCAGCCTTCTTCCGAGCTCAGATTTTCCAGCAGATCACCCTCCTTGAGGATCAAATACTCCTCTCCATACTGCCCCCCATCGAAGTCTGCCTTAACTCCTTAGCTGCCCGGCTTCCGCCTTCACCTACGGTTCTTCACCACGTTCAACGTTCAGGTATCTGTGAGCCTGCCTGTCAAGGTCAGAAAAATGACTGATCAAGATTTAGTCAAGTCCTGCTTTTTGAATCTCAACCCCTGACTCGCGTTGGTCGAACAAACCGGCTGCATCAAACATCGCAAGCCCTCTCTTCTGCCACAAAGGCACTCTGCAGAGTTTGCTTGCAATCCGCTTCAGGCTTGGCAGCTGCTTCTGGCAGTGGCGGAACGTACCATCCGGCTTCTTCTCGGGGACGGATGTTTGCCGGTTCCCCCATCAATTTCATCTCCGCGGTCTTCTGCGGCGATGCATTTACGTTCAACAGGTCCTCCGCTTCCCTCGGACACTCTTTGAATGTGCCGACTGTGCTGCTGAAACCGAAAGCGACGCGAGAGGTGAAAGGAAGACAGCGATGAGATGATTTGGCACGTGGGCAACTTCCAACACAAAATGGCATCCGGGTCTCCCCGCACCAAAAACACTCAATTACACTCGGGGCACAACTTGCACTTCCTTCGTCGGCGCGTAAACAGTCTTCTGAGCTTCCAGGACCCTAGGTTAGCTCAAAGAACATCCAAGGCTCATCTCTCCAACAAAGCCCTTGATGTAAACTTTGTGCGTGTTCGACCAGTACGAGCAGGGCATGCCAGGCCGTCCTTCCCTCATCCAGTCCTGCGGTTTGGGAGCTCTGGGTTCAGATCCTTTGGTTCGGGTCCCAGAGCTCCTTCTGCCAGTGCAGGGGTGTGGGACTTCTGGCTCCAGCGCTAGGAACTGAAATCCAGATAACGGAAGAGCCGCGGGCGGAGACCCTGAAACGACAATCCCACTTCCTCAAACCCGTACCCCCGGTGAATCCTCGAAGGCAGCAATTGCTTCTTCCACCGCCTCCTCCGACAGAGTCACAGCTCCCAGTGCTCCATCACGCTTCCGGCCCTGGGCCACATCTCCTTGTCGGAAAACTTGGGTCTGACTCGGAGTCTCTACGGTTCAGGGCTAGCAGAGGTTAGTAGAAATAGCGTAAGATTACAGGCCTATTTAGGAATAATTTTCAAGCTGGAGTGCTCAAGGACACTGGCAAAATGGACAAGCTGACTGCCCATCAACAGCCGAGCTTCGGAGCAGCTGCTGCACTCGGTGGTCCGACTCAGGTGCGGAACTCTGCATGTGATACTCCTTCAGGAAGTTTAGGAGCTTTGGAACGACTGCACGCAGCCCTGTCAGCTCTGCCAGCGGCGCTGCCATGTTCGCGGGGATGTTAACTTTTAGATTGACTGCACAGGTTGGGGGTTCTTCTGCCACCAGTTGCGAATATGCAAACACCCAGGTCATGTTACCTAATCCGCCAATGACTTATGCGTCTTGGATCTTCTTATGTGTTTCTGGAGATGCTCATGCACAGACACTACACGCATGTCCACCGACCTCACCATCTGCAACACCGAAAGATCGCCCGAAGCCTCAGACAGCATCTTTCTCCACTTCGCCATGCGTCGCTTCCACTGGTCCCCGCAACATGTTGTCGACAGGCCGATCTTCGACCCTCAGGGATGAAACCTAGTGAGCACAGCTCTAGATGTCCACGGACTGGAACAAAGCACGGAAGCAGGGAGTGCGTGTTGTAAAGCACCGGGGCTCGCCGAAGGTAGGAGGTGACAAAGACTGGAAGCAGAATAGGTAAAAGCACAGCTGACTATGGCGGGCGGCTTCAGCTTTCCATGCGCCAGTCCTGAGCCAACCTTGCGGGTTTTGCTCCTGACGTAGCAAGCGCTGTTCAGAGCTTGGTGTCCAAGATGCGATGGGTCACACCTCGAGCAATCAGCCATAATAGTACGGCTAGGACGTACCTCAAAACCCCAAATCCCTCTCCCGAGCCTCGAAATACCAGTCTTTGACGGCCTGCAGGAACTGGAAGACTTCTGTGGCGACCTCCTCTCTTCGGATTTCGCAACTTCGTGGCCAAAAAACCTACAGACCTTAACCTCTGCTGGGCAATCCTTCCGAGGTCCAGCTAGGCTTTTGCAAAGCTTCTCAGAAGCCTGCTTTAGAGGCCCGACTCGGCTCTGTTGGGATCTGTGGGCTCGGATCCTCGAAGTATGGCGGAGGTCCTTTAGGTATCCGGTACGAGAGAACCACCCGCGAGCTAATTGCGGCGACATTGCAGTCCTGATGCTTCAGGTTCTTGTCCGGATGCCAGCTGAGACATGCAGCCTTGCGACCAAAGTGAAGATGCAGAGAGCACAAGCACATCGCCGGCTGGATCTACTCCGGACACAATCCATTGCTGATGACCTGAAACTCCACAAACCAAAATCCCGAAGGTCCACTCCCCGAACCCTCAAACCTCCACCCTCGATCGGTCCTTTACCCTCAACTGCCCCCTGCATCGAACAGCCTGCACCAAGGAGCCCACAATCCGACGCTGAAGCAAGCTGACATTGAAAACAAGGCCCCAAGCAGGGATCGGCAAACAAGATAGGCCCCCCGGCCATGTAGGCTCGCCGGCGATGGGAAAGTGGCTTCTTCTGGGACCTTTAGGACATGGAGCGCAATGAGTGCCTTAGCGCCTGTCATTTAGATCGCCCCTTTTGGAGGGCTCTGCTAATGTCCCTATGAACATTACAACATTGAAACTCTTGCGGATGCAACCGTCTTCTCGTGGCTACGATCGTTCTTCTCAGTCCGATTCCTGCGGCACTACATTGATGACGGTAAATTTGCTGTTGATTCTGAATGTGGCTGCCAATATTAGCAACAAGACCATCCTTATCATGAAGACGAATGAACCCCGATGAACCCCAAATGGCTGGTCCCGACGGCCATCTTTTATCACTCGTCGTCATAGGGCTCCAATAGCAACTGCTGTACTGCAACTGTTGCTACTGCGCCATGGAGAGATGTCCATGAATTCCAGTGGCATTTAACTGTAACAGGGAAGGGCATGCCAAAGCCTGTGAGAGGAAGTCATCAGCGCTTTTGCACAGGAATTATGCGTTTCCTCCTTGAGGATCTGGTTCGGAGCTTAAGCGTTTAGGGCAAGGCTTCACAGGCTGCAGCCCCAGACTTTGACAATCCCACGACTCCACCCGAGCTGAAAAGGCCCTGCACTCGAGCCAAAGGGAACTTCTGTTCAAGTTCGGCGCACTCTGTGGGCTCCGGCTTTCGCATGTCCTGGAAGACTGTTTCGGCCACACGCCGCGCTTTGTCGGCCTGTCTTGTGGAAAGCATGGCGGAGCTCAGAGGAGCTTACGTAGGCGCAAATCAGAACGTACACAAGTGGAGCCACTGGAGGATATACTTTGCAGGTTGGACGCTTTGCGAGCCTTTGGCCACTCGACGCCCTTCGGCAGCTCGATGGCCGCCTGCCCATGCGAGATGTCGGAGACGAAACGCCATGTAATTCAAGACATTGTATACTTGTGGCAGCATCCATGCAACCCTGCAAGTAACCTCGAGTTCACTTTGAAGCATTGGTCTCCCGAAAGTCCTGGATCTACAACACCGACATGCACCTCTTTCTGATGCAAAACTCATCTTTCCTGCTACCATGCAACCCTTAACAATTCTGAATCCTGAGTTTGCACCGCCCCATTTTGCTGCCTAAGGTTCCGAGGGCCTTTGCTGCGGTCGGCTGCCCGGGCGGCCCAGGGCGCTGTGGCCCCGGAACGGCCTCAAAGCGATAAGAGCGGCAATATAACATTTACAACGGCCAGCAGCCTGAATCAACATAAAACACACTGTAGTCCTCCAGCGTTTGGCGCAAAACCATGCCGGGCACCCTGAAGCTTGAATCGTGAACGAAGGTCGAGACCCTCACGTTTTGGAAACTCTCACTCCATCAGTCCTGGCCCAACATCCACCGGCCACTGAACTCCCACTACCCCGCAAGTACCCTACTATGACGCCTGATGGGAGCATTGTATATGCACCTATATCTATATCTATAGCTATACCTATATATATATATATATATATATATATATATATGTATACATACATATATTATGTATTATCTAAGGTGTAGTACTGTGATAAGAACTTTGTATCAACTAACAAAGAAGTTAGGAAGCCAGAACAGATTTAGAAATCCAGACTCTGGGATCCAAATTACTGGTCGTTCTAATTGCCTGGGCTTAGGGCCTAGGGATTGTAGGGTTTAGATAGGGTTGCAGCTGGGGGCAGACGTGGCAATGAGCACACGCACCCCTGGTTTTGGCCTTCAGCCTGGGCTTTGCATGTACAGCGCTTGGACAAAGCAAAACTTTTCTACGACATTGTGCTAGGCACCGCAATGTGGTAGGAGTGTTTTGCCTTGTCCAACCCGGCCCCAAGCCCAAGACCAGCCTACCACAGTGTGGTAGGAGCATTTTGCCTTGTCCGAGCCAGCCCAAGCCCAAAAACAGCCCCAAGCCCAAAACCAGCCTACCGCAGTGTGGTAAGAGCGTTTTGCCTTGTCCAACCCAGCCCCAAGCCCAAGACCAGCCTACCACAGTGTGGTAGGAGCGTTTTTGCCTTGTCCATCCCAGCCCCAAGCCCAAAACCAGCCCAGCACAAACTACCCGTGTTAACCCGCAAATACGAAAGTCTCTTTGAGAGTCACGACCAAACCAAAACTTCTTATATCGCAATGCCGGACTGAGAAATTTCCCGACCCTCGCTTCAGAAGGACGATTTCTTATCAAAGGCCTTCACCGTGCAATCTATTTGATGTTGTATATATGTGTATATATATATATATATACGTATATGTTTGTATGTATATATATATATATATATATTGATATTGTATTAGATCATACATATTCTATAATCCCTGGCCGTGGACCTTCGGCTTCGGGCCAGCGATGCGCGTCCGCTGCTGGCCTGCGCAGACGCGCGGCGAGATGAAGTTTGGGTTTGTCGGGTTAAGGGTTAAGGGTTAAGGGTGCACGGGGTTTCGGGTTGGTTCTTCTGAGAAAGGCTTGAGGGATTTGCGAATGGCGGCCCTGAGATTGAGGAGTCGCGACTTCCGGTCACATTGGGACCACCGTTGCAGATCATAGCGCAGGCGCAGGCATTAAGCTGAAAGCATCGGACGGGAGTAGAGGTGCAAAAACAGATCCGACAGCGCAGAGGGCATACTATGTTTCACCCCCATTCTATGGTACTCCATCATAAGCTACACCATATCGGCCTATACTGTATCTTATGAAAATAAATTCCCAGGCAATATAATGCTCTATCATGGCTCCCATCCCCACAGCAACCCCACCCGCCCCACCCTAACCGTCCCACCTGGAGCGAGGCTCCACTTCTTCTTCTTTGGCGGCTGCCTCAGGACAGGGGAGCAGAGCTGGAAGCTGGGAAGCGAGGAGCTCTCACAAATACCTCAAAAATAGACTTCTGAAAGGTAAAGAGGTTCTTCAGGACTCAGTTTGGTCACTATTCCTTCCGCCCTGTAGGATGGAGGTTTTGGGTCCTTCTTACACGGCCTGACTCTGCCGAGTGCTCCTTTGAATCCGCATGTGAGGAGTGCTGCGAACTCTGCTCTGCTTCCGTCTAGCAAAAAGTTACACCGAACACACTTCCAAGCCACAAAAAAAGGCTCCGCAACCTTGAATCAAAATATCTATGCTGCCACAGCTCGACCTCACTGCACTGCCTGGACCTACTGCGCAGTCCAACGTACTAGCCGCAGCAATGCCGGCCCTGAGAAACATGTGGAAGTGCGTATATCGTACAAGCATGTACTCATTGCAGCTACGTGCATCGGGCTTTTACCAAAATCTCGGGACCCAGCTTGGTGGCATCCGGGACAGCTTTGTAGATAAAAGCCTTTGGCCTCTGCAGAGGAAACAGCGAACATTGCTCTACGGTGCCATCAACAGCAGTAGTAGCCGCGCAACTGTGGTAGCGGCACTAGTAGTAGTTGTTGTAGTAGTGGTCGTCGTCGTTGTAGTCGTGTCGTCTTCGTCATGGTCGTCCTACTTCTACTCCTACTCTTGCTGCTGCTCCTACTACTACGACGATGACGACGACTAGTACTGCCACCACGACTGCTACTGCTGCTGCTGCTGATGCTGCTACGACGACTACTACTACTACCACCACTACTACCACCTACCTCTACCACTACCACTACCACCACCACCACCACCACCACCACCACCACCACCACTACTACCATTACCACTAACACTAATAGCCCTGCTGCTACTACTACTAATAATAATAATGCTACTGCTACTACTACAAATAATAATAATAGTGCTACAACTACAACTACGACGTCCACTCCTGATAATAAAAAGAATAGTAGCAAATAGGAGTACTAGTAACTATACTGACAATAATAACGGTAAGAGTACAAGTGACAGTAACAGTCATAGTAATTGTTGTAGCACAAAAGTACTAGCACTAGCAATGGCAGCGGCAGTGGCAGTGGCACTAGCATCATGGTAGTAGCAGTACTAGCAGCAGTACCAGTAGTAGAAGTAGAAGTGGAAGTAGAGGTAGTCGTCGTCGTAGTAGTCGTAGTCGTCGTGGTGGTGGTAGTAGTAGAGGTGGTGGTATGAGTTGTTGTTGTTGGGAAAGACTAAGACTGGAGCCCCATGTGTCTCCAGTCTGGTAGAAGAAACAGGCAAGAAGTTGTTGGAATGGGCTCCTGTTTTTGTTCGTTCCTTGTTGTTGTTGCTGTTGCTGCAGTGGTTGTAGCAGCAGTAGCAGAGCTAGAAGCCGCAACAAAAACTTCTTCTGCAAGACGGACTACGGGCCATCATCTCCACTAAAGGCTTTAGTTTACATCATTGTGGTGCTGACTCTGACTCATGCTAGCAAACAGCTACAGCATTGCCGGCATGACAGGAAGGCTGTACCTGTAGCAATGACAATGCTGAATGTGACAGGAGGACTTCTGCCCCAGTTTTGCAAGGGTCTAGCCTGATAGGCTCCTGAGAGACTCTGCGAGGTTCAAAAAAACACGGAGATGACCCGCGCAACTCCGGGAGGCAGACTTCCCCTTCGCCGTCGGCACTGCGCGTGGCTCCGAGGCACCGGCAGCCTGCTAAGTTCAGCTCGAATCTGGAAGCAAAGTGAGTCACAAGCTCAGGGTGTGGTTGGGGAAGTCGTAACAGACTTCTTGTCCTTGTACAGCCTGGTTTTGCAGGTTAACACCTCAACCATCAAGCACCACAAAATCCTGAAACATCGCCGAGCGGACAAAGGCGGAGGAGCCATCTGCGCCGGCCCGGACCTCTGCAGCAGCAGGTTCCTGCAGGACGAATGCGCGATCTGAGGCAAAACGCTCGGCAACGAAGTAGACACCAACAAAGCAATACCCAGATGCCAAAAGAGAAGAGAATCGAGCCCGGCAGAATCCAGTGGAGGTCGAATGCGAAATCTACCAGGCTAGTGTTTGGGCGCCAAATAAAAAAAGGAGCTTGGCTAGACATAGGTGCAACAAGGTAAGGAACAAAGATGTCTGGGTGGTATGTTCGTATGTTCTGGGATCTGCTTTCCCCGGCTTGCGAAGTGGAACTACGGCTCTAGGGCGTCTAGATTTTCGATTCCGCGTCAAGGCTTGAGGGCCTGACTTACCTTTGGTTAGTAGGGAATGGAGGAATGGGGTACATTTAAAACTACTACTACTACTACTACTACTACTACTACTACTACTACTACTACTACTACTACTACTACTACTACTACTACTACTAGTACTACTACTACTACTAGTACTACTACTACTACTACTACTACTACTACTACTACCACCATTCTTCCATTCCCTACTAACCAAAGGTAAGTTGAAGGGATTCGGATGCCCCTAAGCTCCTAACTCCTCGGCCTTTAGGGGCTGAGTGAAAGCCCCGGCTAGCAAGTCTTCCTCAGATATTTTGGGTGTTGTGACACTCAAGGCTTCCATGGTTTAAGGAGATCCGGTGCACGCTGTAATATTAGGGGACTCGATAATTAGAATAAGGTTTTTGGGCCCATTGTACCACAATTATAATAAGGAACCGCCAAAATAGTATTGTTTATTCTTGAGGCCCCTACAGCACCAACGTCGGGAGTCGGTCTCGATGAAAAGTCTACGCATGGGACCGGCAGCAAGCTCCCACGAACTCGGCACCTGAACTATGTCTTGCTGAACAGGTCCCCTACACCAGAACTCCAAATCCAAGTCCCAAAGCCCTGATCGACTTCTGACTCTTTCTGGAATGCAAAAGAGCTATCAGGGAACTGTGCTTATACTGACTGTTTAGACGAATGGTAATAACGACCGGGGACAAGAACAACCGACCGTAATACACCCCGACGGCTAGTGCCGAATGTTTTGTAATGACAAGACGGGCGAGCCTGAACTGAAGCTTCCGGGGCGACTTCTGGCGGAGCCTCCGGTGGGGCCGTTGCCGACGGCACCGTCGACGATGGCACCTGCGGTCCAAAGCTGTCTTCGGGATCCGGCTTTGCAGTCGGAGAGGGCTGTGGCGGACGCTTGCATATCATATCCTGAACAATCTTGGTTTCTTCCCAGACTTGTTGATGTGCTTTTCTAGGTGACAGCGGTGATGGTGACGGTGGTGGTGCTGCTGCTGGCGCTGCGGCTGCTGCGGCGGCAGTAGTGGCGATGACGTCGTTGGTGGCACGTTCGGTGCTGCTTGGGTTGTTTGCGTCATAAGTGTTATTGGTATTGCTGCTGCTTGCGTTTTCGCTGTGATGTCATAGTTAGCATCCAGTCTGCCGGCGAGTGGTTCTTATTTAGTTTAATACTCTATGCATGCTAATATACTCTCCTTGCTTACCATCGGCCGTTAAACTCATATCATCATCACTACGGTCATCACAGTCATTACACAAATCTGATTACTGTTGTCATCGACTGCGTCACCAGCAACACCAGTACCTCCATCATCAACAACAACATCATCAGCATCGTCGCCATCGTTGGCACGTAGCACCTTTTTCCACATCCTCGCGCTCGTGATGCCGTGTTGTCATCACCATCATCATCGTCTGCTGAGCACTTGACTACCAGAACCCTGTACCGAGAGGGACCTCGCCACCCTCCACAGCGATCATCCACTGCTCCCCTGTGCTGAGATTCGTCTGCACCAGCCGGACCTGGGCCGCGCTGGAAAAAGGAGCAGAAATCAAGATTAGCAAGAACATCATTAGTAAATAGAAGCATTGTGGTTTAACAGTTTGTCAGTTCTTCTGCTTACCATTGCGACCACTTGCGGTTGAAGGACTGTGTACTGGTTCACTTCTGTCGTCTTGTTGTCTGGCCTCTAGGCAAGTCCACCCCAGGCACATTCACCAGCAACCACTAGCAACAATGCCTTCAAGGGATCCAACGTCACGGGTCTTTGGGGTTGCAGCGCCGAGAAACTCATACTCGCAACACTTCCGGGAGTCCAGATTTGGGCACGATGGCTCTCAATGGATGCAAAAAGCTTTTCCAATTTCATGGCTGTAGTTACTTCAAGGTGGTGCTGTGACGTTTGACGGCTCTCGCAATGTTGAACTCTGGGCTTCGGAAAGGTTGAGGGAACAACTGCTCCAGCGCAAGTGCGTGTGTGAACCTCAGCTGTCAAACTCCTATTCGGCCTCTGAGATCAGGAATGTTTGGGGCTGAGGGCTCAAACTCCGATTTAAGACTTTCGTGCGAGGTACTGGTGTCCTGCCAGTGCCTGCAGTTTTCAACAAACGTGGAGGCTACCAGGAGGATCCTTTCAAAGCCTGTTCAAGCCCTGACGATCTCCAACACCACTGGCACCACAGCAAATCATAGATCCCGCCGTTACGCCAAGACCCGTTAACGGACAGGGCCAGCGGCAACATCCACTTCGAACTCACAGCCGTTGACGAAGTAGCCTTGCAGCAATTTGGCTTCGCGCTTCCTACCCAGGCAGACATTGCAGCCTGGTATAGGGGCCGTAATAATCACCTATACTACTTTGGGGGGCTCCTTAATATAATGATGATAGTACTGATAGTATAAAGGGCGCAAAACCCCATTCTAATTCTTAAGGCCCCTACATTGCCCGTGGAACTTTCAGGCTGCCTCGCCGAAACGTACAACTAAACAGAAACGCTGATGGGCTGGGCCTGACACATTCAGTCAGGTCCATTTCATATGGCCACGACTACCGTCCCTGTCGTAAGAACAGCTGTATCCCAGTCACTGGACACCCCAAGTCACGAAAGTGCCATCGCCAGGAATGGCAGAAAAAGCGTGGTGAGCGGCTTGGATGTGCTGCACAGTCTTCAGCTGAGTCTGCACAGCACTACTGTCACCACCAAACCCAGCATCACCCCAGGTCACGACAGAGCTGTCGGCAAGAATGGCAGCAAAAGCTCCCTGAGAGGCTTGGATCTGTTGCACATTCTTCAGCCGAGCTTGCACAGCACTACTGTCCCCGCCAGACTCAGCATCACCCCAGGTCACGACAGACCCGTCCGCAAGAATGGCAGCAAAAGCTCCCTGAGAGGCTTGGATCTGTTGCACATTCTTCAGCTGATGTTGGACAGCAGTACTGTCACCGCCAAAGTGAGGACTGCCCCAGGCGACGACGCATCCGTCTTGAAGAATTGCAGCAAAAGCTCTCTGAGAGGCTTGGATCTGCAGTACATTTTGTAATTGTTCCTGCACAAAGCTACTGTCACCACCATACAAAGCAAAACCCCAAGTCACGACGGATTTATCGCCAAGAATGGCAGCGAAAGCGTGGTCACACGCTTGGATCTGGCACACGTCTTTCAATTGAGCCTGCACTGCACTACTTACGCCACCATCCATAGCGCTACCCCAGGTAACGACGGATCCATCGCCAAGAATAGCAGCAAAAGCATTCTCAGACGCTTGGATCTGTTGCACATTCTTCAGCTGATCCTGGACGGCACTGCTGTCCCCACCAGCTACAGCATATCCCCAAGTCACCACCGATCCATCGCCAAGAATCGCAGCAAAAGCGCCGAAAGTGGCCTGGACTTGATGCACATTCTTCAGCTGAGCCTGCACAGCACTACTGTCGCCACCAGTGTATTCATCACCCCAGGTCACCACAGAGCCATCGGCAAGAATCGCAGCGAAAGCGCGGACCGATGCTTGGATCTGCTTCACACTCTTCAGGCGATTCTGCACTGCATTGCTGTCCCCGCCCTGATTGGCCTCACCCCAGGTCACGACGGATCCATCGCCAAGAATGGCAGCAAAAGCGCTCTGAGAGGCCTGGATCTGCTGCACATCACGCAGCTGATCCTGGACAGCACGACTGTTACCACCAGCTGCAGCACATCCCCAGCTCTCGACGCATCCGTCGCCAAGGATGGCAGCAAAGGCTGGGCGATCGCGAGTAGCTTGCACTTGATCTTTCTTGATGTGCAACGTCAGGGAGTCGCAATTCTGAAGCCCAGCATCTTTGATTTTTGAGCATGCATCAAGCACGACCCCGGATGAGTTTAGCAGCCGTCCTCTTCCGACTCCAAGGGCGGTCTGTGCTTGAAGCTTCAGTGTTTCCACCTTGTCATCCAAGCCTGCTTTCACGGTAACTGTTTTGCCACTGAGCAGTCCAACATCAATAGTGATTGACATGCTGCAGATTAGACTCGAAATCTAACTCAAACTCATAGGTTTAGGCCGTGGCTGATTGGGCCGTAGTTGGGACAGCTACTTACACTCGTCGTGCTGGCACTACTACACTGAGTATCGGTTCGGTGGTAGGTAGAGCTTGAACAGTTATGAGAAAATTTCAGGGAAGCTGCGAAAGCGCAATTGCTCATCTTCTAGAGCCGCGGTGGCACTGCACGTGCAGATTCTCGAAAGTCGAAGCTTCCACGTCCCGGCCCCAATTCTGAAGCAGGGAAAACTCGGGGTGAAGATGAGGCCTTCGTCTTCTTCGAATCCCAGTCCGTCTGTTCACTGCTTCAACCTACAGGATCAGGAACCTCGAAACCGAAGTTGTAAACCCTAGTTGAATGAGGGTGGGCTTTGTAATGAAGTCCTAAAATCAAAAGTGTGTTTGTGTGTGTGTGTGTGTATATGTGTATATATACGTATGTAGATATATCCATAGAGGGAGAGGGAGGCAAACAGAGAGAGAGAGAAAGAGAGAGAGAGAGAGAGAGAGAGAGAGAGAGAGAGATAGAGCGAGCCCTAACAAATCAAATCCTAAACCCTACACTCTGTCGGCTGGCAAAAACACGTCTCAACACCCGCGAGTAGCGAATAAGGAAAAACGCGATGAAAGATGTTCCCATGGGTGGTGTCTATGAGCATATTCGAACCGAACTCTTACGACCCAGGTCTAGTCCTCCTTCAAGTACTCCACCTGATTTCAACAGCAGGAGCAGAAGCAGGAGCAGAAGCAGGACAAGGAGCAGCAGCAGCAGCAGCAAAGGCACTAGTCGTAGTAGGACTGACTAGGGGGAGGCGGAGGAGGAGCAGGAGAAGCCGCTCCTACAAGATGCTTGAAACAAATGAAATCTCAGCACCCGGCGGACCACTTCCTGACCCGAGGCCAGAGCTGCGAGCAGCTGCCGTTCGGCTTCCTGTCAAGGTTCGCTTTATTCTTCTGTCATCTGATGTCATCTGTCAGTCTGTGATGATGTCGATGAGGGTGCGGTGTTCATGCCTGTGACCTGTGGTAGTACCGAGAGGCTACCACGCAGCAACCAGATGTATTTCTGTGGCGTATACGGTATTCTGTAGGGCCTTTTGGGGTCCATCATACTATGATTATAATATGGAACCCCAAAATAGTACAGGTAATTATTTAGGCCCCTTATGTAGGGAATAGTCTGTTGATGCGGCCCACCCCGGATTTTGAGCCCTGAACCCTACACCCTGAACCCTGAACCCTAAACCCTGAACCTAATCCCTAAACCCTACACCCTAATTCCTAAACCCTAATCCCTAAACCCTGAACCCAAAACCCTGAACCCAAAACCCTGAACCCTAAACCCGAATCCCTATAAACCCTAAACTTTACACCCTGAAGCATCGAAGTCTTCCGGGCGCTGCACCTCTCCCGGCTCCAGCCACTGATCCGATGCCTCCGACTCCCGGCGTGAATCTGGCAAGCAGGTTTTGACGAACAGATGGAATAATACTAATGGCTCTACTAATGATAAAAAGTACCAATAACAATACTGACAATAACAATAATCCTAGACATAGTGATCATAATACTAACAATAACAACAACAGTGCTTATAATAATAATATGTGATAATCATCATGCTGTCACAGGCATCGGTCACTGCGGAGAGTCGCGGAGCCGCCTTCAACATAGCTCGCAGGCTTCTTCACATCAACCGAAGCTGGCGCAAGGAGAAACAGATACATTCTCAATGGCATAATGGCATAATGTAGCGGCCTTATTAATTAGAATTGGGTTTCTGGGGGAGTTACATCATACTATAACCATATTGAGTAACCCCATATTAGGGCCTTTATGAACCAAGCACTGATCACGTCGAGCATCTCACCCACCGTAGGTCTGCAAGATCGAGATCAAAACTACTTCAGGAGCCTGAGGATTTGACAACCGAGTTCCCTCCTAGTCCAGCAGTTTGTACCAGTGAAATACCATAGCTGCAAAATACGAAAGCACCCTACAACTCGACCTTAACCCGAATCTCTGAAGCCTAAAATCCTGCATCTCTAAACCGACCCTAAACAAGCAAAAACCTCCTAAAATCCCCTTAAGCCCTTTCAACCTTTCTACACCAAAACCCAAAAAGCCCCTAACCCCTAACCCCTATCCCCTACACGGCCCGAAGCATCGGCCTGGCAGCTCTGTAGCCTCATCGGCAGCTTGCGGGTCGCTGGAATTCCTGGGGCTTCAGGGCGTAAGTAAAGGCCCTCTTGGCTCAGGGTTCCTTTTAAGGGTCCTACAATAGGGTTCCCTTTAAGGGTGTAGGGCCTGCTTCAAGGTTTATAGGGGACTTAGCAACTAGGGTTAGACATAAGGTAACTATACTTATGATTAGTCACAACCCCGGTCAAGGTACTTGCAACTGCACTAAGTCCCACGACCCTCCAAGTAGCTCAGGCGTAGGGATGAGAGGATCAGGGGTTTCAGGATAAGGGGTTCAGGGTTCTGGCTTCAGCGTTTGGAGTTGTTCTCTATTCGGGGTTTACGGCTAAGATTTAAGGGTTGGTTTTTCGAGCTTCACAATCTGGGGGGGTTAGGGTTTACAGGTTTCGAGCCAGATAAGGAGAAACGTCTGGGTTGGATGCCCTCCCAAAGCAAGTGCCCTTACAGAGCTTACAGAGGTTACAAAGACTGTGGATGGCGTGGTCGTCGCGAAGGCGGTGTCTGGTTGACCCCGAAGCTATTCCATGTGCTGATGATCTATGACCGATAAGCGATGATAAATAACATCTACAAGTTATAATCATGAAATACAATAGATAATAGTTGACATATAACATATTATATATGGAATTATAACATATTATATATATATAATATTAAACATGAACCTTATATCTGACAAGTTATAGATTACAGATTATGTATTCTGTGTTAAATATAATGTGCCATATCCAGCGAGGCCGGGGCCAGAAAATGCGCTGCTTCTTTCCGGACTCACGGCTCAGCTGCTCCTGCAAAAGCTCTCCCAGAATGACTCGGAGTTTGGATGAGGGGAACCCTTGAGGATATAGACCCTTTGAATAAGCTCCCTCTTCTTAGGAGAGCCAGAAGTAGGGTTCAGACAAGGTCCCCTTTGAGGGGCCTCCCTAATACTACCTGTGAGCAACAGCTACTGGAGTTCGAGCTTGCTGCTTGCGAGCGTTGCTCTGATTCCAGATGATCAGATGTTGCCTGCAAGCTTACGACCGACTATGCCAGTTCTGGTTTTCAAACTATGTGTCTTCAAGATCTTGTTTAGGCATTGCCCAACATGTACGGCAGCGATGTCAGCGCCAAGAACGGTCACTGGTAACTGATAACTAATTGGCTCGTCTAACTTGACGCCAGGATCAAACTGAATGGTGGACAAGCAAGGGTCTCGAGCCTGCCTCAAGCAACGCTTGCCCAGCAACCGATGTCGTAGATTTTATTCCGCTGAAAATAAATCGGAGCACCCGGCCAAATTGAAAACTTCGTATGCACGCTTCGCATTAAACTTCTTGGAGCCGCACCCAGCTGGTGAGGTCCACCTCGTAGGACTTGCCCTGACTGCATCCCCGGCTGTGAAGGTTTGGACTTACTAACTAAAGAGTTGATATCTCAAACCTTTGGCTTGACCTAAACTGGAGGCGCGAAGGCCTCGAAAAGAGAGCTCTTCTACAGCATTTCAGACCGTCTGCAGCAGCTTGCGTGAACCATGTCTTGACATAATGTCTGGACGTTCGACATCTCACGATTTGAGAGTCTCCGTTTTTGCTGTGGGTTCTGTGGCGATGGCTTTGTGCACTGATGGTTTTCGTCTTCGGGGCTAAAAGAGGCAAGTCAGACGCGTCAGGCACATCATAATGGTCAGCAGTGCCGCAGGTGCGAAGTTCAGCTACAGGAAGTTCGGAGGTGAAAAACACCTCTTCGACCCCAATGCAAAATAGTAAAGTTCTTACCAGGTGCCACTAACCTTCGGAAGTCGCCTGTGACCACAAACTCCGGCAGGGCCTCGAGAGTGTACTCCATGCGCTCGTCGCCGCAGTAGTAGGCCACCAACAGTTGAGCGCTCACCTCTGGATCCAGGCTCCTCCAAACATCCGACGACTCCTGAACAGCAATGATTTCATCCATTGGCAATGGAATACTTGCCTCTGAACTTGTTTGTCTGTGTGTCCACATGCATGCAAGCATGCCTGCACGTCTAAGCATATGTATGTATGTGCACATGTACCTAATTACGTGCGTACCCTGGAATGTATGTATGTATGTATGAATGCATGCATGTCTGTATGTCTGCATGTATGCATATATGCCTGTATGCCTGTATGCCTGTACGCCAATATGCCTGCATGCCTGTATGCCTGAAAGCCTGTATGCTTGTATGCCTATATGTATGCATGTATGTTTGTGTATGCATTTGTGTACGCGTGTATTTGCATGTATGTTCGTACGTATGTGTATGCATGTATGCATGTGAGCATGCATCATACATGCATGCATGCGTGTTTCTGCACGAGTGGGTACGTGCTGGCAGCGAGTGAGGGAGAGCGAGCGATTGGATAGGCGAGTGAGTCAGACAGTGCGAGAGTGAGTCACAATGGGCATGAGCATGAGCATGAGCGTCAACCTGCGAGTGAGTAAGAGCAAGAGCCAGAGCAAGAGAGAAAGAGAGAGAGAGAGGGAGACAGACAGAGAGAGAGCCACACTCTGATGCTCACCTGCCTCGATGAGCCACTCCCCACCTCAAGTTGAAAGCTTAGCACGGTTTGGGAGATTTGACTTGGGCTCTTGGTTTTTGGGAGTGTGCGCGGCTCAATGTGAGCTGGCGACAAGAGCCTACTGAGGTGGGAAACAGTGCCGACGGCTTCAAAAACCAGCAATACTGCTGTTGCAATTCTTGCATGGGCCATCTAGTAGTTAGCATTACAGCTTGTATTGCTGTGATTTGCGCTGCTAGGCTTGGTTATAGTATGAGAACTTGCACGCGGACGTTACTGCTGCTACGGCTCCTAAGGTCCTACAGCTACTTACAACAACAACTGCTGCTGCCACTACTACGTCGGCTGGCATTTTGACGCGCGAAGCTGGCCAGAACCACAATTCATCGAATAGTTGATTATGGTTAGGAGGGTTTATAGAAAAACAAGAATTTTACACAGGAAGAAAAACTAGGATTGCTGCCCTAGTTTGAGACTCAAATTTCGAAAGGCAAAAGATAGAACTTCGCTTATGTTGAAAGAGAAAGTCCCATAGATCTTCCGTGTTCGCCTCTTGTTTCCGCATACGGTGGAAACTTGGCAAATACTAGAAATAGCTGCAATTAAACACACCAAAACCCAAACAAAAAAAAAGAAAGTGTTTTGCCCATGACATGCGATGGTCCCGTTAAGTTTTTTACCTACAAGCAGACTTTCTCGGATATTAAATCAGGCATCTCGACACACCAGAATACTAGACAATGCTTCGACTGAGCCAGCACCACCACCAACGCCACGACCATCACCATCACTGACTAAACGACAACAACTTGCAACAATTGCTACCGTATACAGCTACAACCATTCCTCTGGATGCTGCATTGCTGAGTTTCTTGTTCTTGTCATATCGAGACTCAATTCCGGCTTGTGTCTCGAGAGCTGGCTGACTGAATTTTCTGCTACGTGCTGGAAACTGCATCGACGACACAGTCACATTGGTGCAAGATTTGACTTGAGGGTCTTGTCGGGGTGTCCGAAGTGAACGGTGGCGTCTTGTGTGATTACTTTGGCTTTGCACGGAAGTCGGGAAAGATCCGCATTACCAAATCTGACAAGCGAATCCTTGCACAGTCAAAGTGTCTAGTCTGTGACCCGGGCCGAGGTAGACCTCCGGTGCCGCAGTAACCTCCTGCGCTCAACGGTGCTTGCGGCTACTCTGTGGTTAGTCAGACTTCGGACGTGCAGTTGTTGATTTCGGTTACACAGGGGCGACATGGACAAAGGGGATAATGATGTTTGAGCAGCCAAGCTTTCTGCCACAGGTTCAAGCTTGCTGTCGAATGGATGTTTAAGGACCGGGGCAACCCCAGCCGACTCTCTTGGCCACAGAGGTTCAAGAGGGCAGGCAATAGTGCGATGATGCTTTCCTCCGATTGTGGAGCCAATGATCAGCAAAAGAAGTGGGATGAGCTCTTCGGGTAATGTAATATACAGTCACATACATACTTACAAGATGCAGTATATGCTGCGATTGCACACGTTGCTTTCAGGTGCCATTCGCTTCACAACAACCGGCAATTCGACGGTCGTAAAACTGAACACATCCTACCATGCAGGGTTCTTCACTCGGTCCCTGATCGTCTCGGTGCAACCGCAAAAACCATGGTTTTGACCCCTGCTGCGGTGTTCAACACTAGTCAATCCGAGTCCAGAAAGCCTGACAAAAAGCAATGCCGCTAAGTTCGTGAAAAACAAAAATCAAACGAAGCCCCGTGACAGCGTGCTCTATTGTGCACTAGTTCACGGGGTGAACTTGTTGAGAGGTCAACCGACCGGCTATCGGCTGCTTCCTAGATAATAATTAAAATAGGGTTTTGGGGTCCGCTGTACTATACTTACCAATAAGGAACCCCCAAAATAGTATAGGTAATTATTTACGCCCCTGTATTATCCAAAACCCTATGGTGCTGAGCCCGTCTCCTGCCTGAACTGAATAAAACAAGTACCACTGATTTAGGGTTCATTGTCACGGCTTCGACCATAAATACATAGTGCTACTTCCAACAACAACTCCGGTACTGCTGATGGATACCATTACCGTTCTTTAGGTTATAGACTTGCTAGCTATGCTAGTTCCAGCGCCCCTAGCCTGGGTGAATCTTTTCCAAATTTCTACTGACGGCGTTTAAAGACTCCCTTCGGGCGGGTTACAACTCCTGCCCTGACTCTTGACGTTCCTCCTGGCCGGCCGTCTCTGACTTTGGAATCTCCGCAGCTTCGAACCAGCAGATGCGGCACTGCCTGCGATTCGTCAGCAGATCCCAAAATACTGCCATGGCTCAATGTGATCTGGCAAAACAGCGCAACCTGTTCCAACGAAGGTTGAGACTGTGAAAAAGCAGAGTCAAGCGCCCTTGCATGTAAGATCTTACTCCATTTCTGACTTCGTCACAGAGCAGGCCTTCCAGTTTGTTGGTCCGTCTGCACCTGTCCGTAGAAGTCCACATGGTAGTTGTTGTTGAAGCTGGAGTAAGTGGCCTGCATTTCAGGAACATCAGAGTAACAACAGTAGCAGCATTAGGAGCAGTCGCAGTCGTTGCAGCAGTGTTAGTGGTAGTTGCAGTGGCAGTGGCAGCGGTACAGTAGTGGTAGTGGTGGCGGTAGTCGGCGTTGACTGATGTGTCTTTCTCGCGATTGCTGACTGCTGCTGTTACCATGACTGCCTGGAGTATGCTGAGGATCGTTAGCTCCTCCCTGAAAGGGAAAGATGCCGGGCAGGCGGGGATGACAGGGAAGAAATGAGGAACTCATAGTACAGGCAAAACCACAAGTCACCTCCTTTCCCTTCAAACTCACAAACTCCAACTAGAAACCTTTGGTCTTCGCGCCCGCCTCAGTACGTCCACTGTAGTACTCTTCGAGGAGCTTCTGGCTCGTCTCCTCGTTGGCTTGACATCGAATCAAACTGCACGAATGCCTAGAGCTTCTGGCATACAGAGGTGCCACCGTAATTTGTAATCAGTAAGGACGGAAGGCTGTGGTTGGGGAGTGGGGACCAATCCAGGAAGTGGGGGTGTCCTCTGAGAGCGTATCGGGTCAGGCTTTGTAAGTTCATGGAAGGACCCCACGCGTCATCAAGCCCCGACATTCCAAGATCGGATGTTGCGGATATGGCGCTGCCTCAAATTTCCTCGAGCTCTCCCACTAGAGCCACTAGAGACGCGTACATTGCTCCGACCCACCCTGATACACATTACCCTCAGCTCTTGACGTGCCTGGTCCAGGGCGATCCAGTCATCCTGCGCTACCTTGCCGGACGAATCAGGAAGATAGTGCGCAGTCTTTTTGGGGTGGTGGGTTGCAGTTTTCCGCTTCACCTTTATGGCCTGATCGGGCCAGCGGATTGCACAACTTTTCCATTCCTGCGGAACAGATGCCTGGAGCCCAGATGGAGGACCCGAATCCCCGAATGACACTGCAACGCTTCCTGGGATCTTTAGTCGTATCCCCTGCTACCTTCTCCACCCCTACCGTGAGATGCATTCAGACATCATGAATGGAATTCCTAGCTTCGTAACCCTCCAACCTGTTAAAGAGAATCCTGCAGCCATGCCTGGTTGCAAAGAAACATTCTGCCGTAATTGCGGATTCTTGGCGCCAAGCCCTGAAACTCTTAACACCCTGAAAATAAGGATCCTACTATTTGGGGCACTGTAATCAGGATCCTACTATTTAGGGTAACACCCGCACAGTCCACACACCTTCACAGACGGCGGCCTCAACTCGCCACTCTCCCCGCGGCCAAGAGGCCTGGATGATGACCATAAGGGTTCTTAAAAAAGGCTCTATATGGGTTACTATAAGCGGTATTATGGGGGTTTAAAATAGGGCCTTAATAATCATCGTCATATGATATCATCTCATAAGGTATGAGCTAGTACTGTAAAGGATAGTATGAGATAATGTAAGATAATAGAACACAACGGAAGGCAACATAGGATAATGATAGAAGATCGTAGAAGACAGTGGATACTATAAGATAATAAAAGGCAATATAAGACAGCACAGGGCAATACAATACAATATAAGGTTATTGCAGGATGATATAGGATGATCTGACGATACTAATAAAATCATATAAACATACACAACAAAAAAATGTGTAATGCAGCGGGGGGGAGAATTGCCAGCAAAACTCTGAAGACATCTGGCTGAAAATGGCCCTGAAGGGGAGCGTCGCCCGCGCTTAAGGGGGTTGCACACTGAGACCTGATCACCAAGACCCCTGAAAGCCGTCATGGTCGCCTTGCCACCAGAAGCATTCAACGGCAAAGAACAATACTGAAATCCAACCGTAGCCAGTCATCTAGTCATACGGCGAACGCTTTAGGGCTCAGGGCTGAACTCCGAAGCCCTACATATCTCAAACAGCCTTAGCCCTTGCCAGAAACTAAACCTCCCGGCTTTCAAGCCTTGAATAACATAATTCAGATTGTCAGCTACAGTCCCTAATTATCTGTCTTTCTCTCTCTGCCAGGCTTGAGGGAAAGTGTTTGTATACATATATATATATATGTATAGAGAGAGAGGGAGGGAGAGAGAGAGAGAGAGAGAGAGAGAGAGAGAGAGAGAGAGAGAGAGAGTCTTATATACCCTAAACCCTATGGCATTGTCAGAACGGAGTTAAGAGACTTTTGCCCTTTTGCCTCCGCAGACTCTGCCGCCTCGGGTCCGTCGGCTGCCGCCTCCTGGAATCCGAGACGAGGGTTCTAGAAGGGCTACAAATTACTGGTAATTCAAACAGGGTTTAGGGTTTAGGGTTCGCTTAGGTTTTACGAGGAATCTATTCAATCTTAAATTGCAGTAAGTGTCTCCACAGGGCCTAAGGTCCAACAGCCAAGCAAAGCTGCGGCTGTCGGGCTTCGGCATTTGGTATCTGAAGGACGTTTCCATGCCGACACGCCATCACCGACACCGAGGCTTTTCATGAGCTCGCACTTCTCTGCCTCGTAGCGCGCTGCTGCGGAGCCGGCACAACCCATGGGGTCGCTGTCATGGCCAATGCAGGCGGACAACGCGAGGTTGAAAGTTTGGGTTGAGGGCTTCAGGGATAGGCACCCGTAGCTGTAAGTCCTTGAGGCGTTCGGTGGAGGGTGGCATGGCGGAGGGCTGAAATTGAAAGGTTGAGGCATGACAGCTGGACAAAACCGGACGTACATTCAAGAGAACTGGGTGAATGCTAGGCTATGCTTTTTGGACTAAAGAACAGTGAGACCGGCGTGGGGCGGCCATGATGCCAAATCTGTCTGATGTGGGATACTCAGAAGCGGAGCAAAACGCAAGACATGGGTTCTTGTGCTCAAAAAAATGTGTCGTTCCGACTGTCCATGCTTTCAACACACAAAGTGCTGGACTGAAGTTCATTGGAGTTTATGGCCCAATCCAGACTCCAAAAATCGGCCGAGACTTGGCAGCGTTGGGATACGGCATTTCCTTCGGGCCCTGCTGCATCCAGCACATTAGCTCGTCATCTACGCGTGGTTCTGGAGAACAGGCTGCTCAGGCTGCTCTCTTCCCTAACTCGAGTGTGCGGTGGATGAGCTTTGCATCCACGACCTAGGCCGTCCCCAGTGGAAGAGGCCCGGAGCTGCTTGAGTGCTCTTGACCGGTTCTTGTCGGACGGCACTGCTTCTTCGTCGCTACCGATATTTGCCAGTTATTCCTGCTGGATCTTGGGAATTCTGGTAACTTTTCTTGATAACCGGTCGCATCTCTAGGGTCATCGCCTCTTTTGATTCTTATTGGTTGGCCGTCTATAAGCTTTTCGAACAACTTAAGGGCTCTTCTTAGCTACCGGCAGCTGCTATCATCAGCTAGTACTCTGGGGCTCGTCTTTGCGCTTCGGGCTACTGCAAGCGATTCTCTTTGCATCACTATATAACTGCAATCCCTGAATTGTAATTATTATTGTTTATTATATCTATTAATGTTATTATTATGAGTTATTATATGATACTTTACCGCATGGCGTCCTCCCGGCTCGACCCTCGGCACCTGAGTGCAAGCGATCTGCTCCTTTGGCAGACACGTCTCGCGGCACGGCCCTGGAAACTTGAAATTGAAATCCTCCGCGGAGAACCCGCGAACACGGCTGGTTCCATGCAGTGGGGCCTGTCGTCAAACCTAACCTGAAACCCTAAACCCTAATCCCCCAAATTTCTAAATAGGACATGACAAAACCCTCTGATCTCGAAACCCCTCTGCCAACCCTTCCTACCCCTCGCCGAAGTCGGCCAGAGCGACAGGAGCGTGTCTGCACATGACCTCCGAGGCTCGGCGCGAAGCGTCGGGGATCAGACTCTGACTTTGCTTATAGGTTCAGGGCTTAGGGGTTTAGGGGTTTAGGAGTTTAAGGGCTCAGGGATTTAGGGGTTCAGGGCGAAGTTTGGGCTCGAGACCGACAAGCTCAGACCCTTCGACTTTTGGATGCTTGATCTGGGCTCTGGGGGCCTTGGACCGTTGGGGTGACTTGTGCTTGCAGGGACTCCGCCGGAGAACTCTGGAGGACACGTGAGGTCCCCTGCATAATCGAAAAGGTACCCACGTGAAAGCTAGGGTAAACTTATGAAGCCCTGATTCCAGAGCTTCCAACATAGAGCTTCCAACATAGAGGTCCGAAATTAAAGGATCCCTAAACCCCAACATGGCAAGAAAGCCCTGACCCTACAACGTGCCTCGACAAGGTCGCCCTCCTCGATCCAGCCGCTTTGGTTCACATCCAGCCTCTCGTGCGAGCTTTGGGGAGGTTTCGAGCTGTTTGTTTGGGTGCGATTCGGGGTTTGCTCTTCGAGTTTGGGGAGTGTCGGACTTGGGGCTAAGCCACGGCACATATTGCGCAGACCTTCGTGTTTCTGGAGTTTGAGCGCGGATGCTTGGCTTGAAGTTAGAGAAAAAAGGAACCTGAAACCCACAACTTGTCGTTGGAAAGGTCCAAGGGTTCAAGTGCGGCAAGTCCCGCCACAAGCCTATCTTATACGTAACTTTCAGTTTATGCTATATTGCACATTCCAGGAAATCAGAATTGAGGAAACGATCCCAAACAGTATCGCTGCTGCAGGTCCAAAGCGTCGCCTGGCCTCTGGCACGCGACTTCAACCCCCAGTTCAGATGCACCGCCGAAGGCGGCGAACAAGGGCCGAGCCGCCTGGCAATTGCTCTGCTTGCTGCTTTCCCATTTCGAAATTTGTTCTTCTGTTAGCTATGACCGCATTTAGCGTGTAACTAGTACAATGAGCGTGGCGCAGCTACTAGTCTTCGTCCGTGAAATTACGTCGAAGGGTCTTCTTCGTCATTCTCGTTGGCGTCGATGCTTTGTCGATGGTAGTGGTGATGGTTTGGCATGCTGCTGGTGCTGGAGGTGGGGGCTGTGATGTGGCGGTGAGGGTGGAGCCGCAGCGGCGGTGGTTTGCTGCTTCTGTTGCCGGCAGTGGCAGTTGGGTGGTGTAATGGCAGTGGTAGTGGTAGCCCTGGCACTGCGGGGTCGTTGGCAGTGGTGGTAGTAGTCGGTTGTTCTGGCTGTGGTGGTTGTGGTGCTTGTGGTGGTTGCGGTGATGGTGCTGGTGGTGCAGTGGTGGTAGTGTGGCAGTGGTGGCAGTGGTGGTAGTGGTTGTACTGGTGGAAGTGCTGGTAGTGGTGGTAGTGGTGGTAGTAGTGGTAGTAGTGGTAGTAGTGGTAGTAGTGGTAGTAGTGGTAGTAGTGGTAGTAGTGGTAGTGGTATTGGCAGTGATAGTCATGGTAGCGGTGGTAATGGTGGTGGTGGTAGTGGTGGTGGCGGTGGCGGTAGTGGTGGTAGTGGTGGTAGTGGTGGTAGTGGTGGTGGTGGTGGTAGTGGTGGTAGTGGTGGTCGTGGTGGTAGTGGTGGTAGTGGTGGTGGTGCTTGTAGTGGTGGTACAAGTAGGCGGTGGTGCTTGTAGTGGTGGTAGTCGTGGTACTTGGTACGGTAGCAGTCGTGGTGGTAGTCGTGCCAGTCGTGGCAGTCGTTTTCAGTCGTGGTCGTCGTGGTAATCGCGTTGAAAGTCGTAGAACATTGCAGTAAAATCTTCTCCAGAACCCTCCTTCAATAATCTCAACCTTCAGGCCATGAGTCTATAAGAGCTTCATGGCGGGACTCCAAACACCTACAAGCGTGACCTTTTGCTTAGCCCCTGGAAACTCAAACAAACCCGAAATTCCCACAGCTCCATCCTGAGACTCTGCAGCCCTACCCATCCGCCTCCAGGGCAAGCGGCGCACCATGTGGACTTAGAGCGAGGAACAGCTCTTCCGCACCCACATTCCTGAGTAGGAATGGCAGACTCTCACTCAGTCTTTGAGGATTGACGGTGGGACATCGGGGCTCGGCTTAAATAGGGGTCAAGGCCCGTTGCGCCCGGATTGGGACTACGTCTATGATGCTGGACGTTAAGGGCAAGCGATGTCAACTGACACGCTACTCTTCCTTAGCCCATTCTTAATCCTAACAATAGTAGGAATAATTGGCAGGAAAAGCAACACCAGGTATCTTCACCCTTACACAAAGCCTGGTTGCTGCAGAGAGCATGACTGCCAATAAGCACTACCTCCCAAAGTTGTTCGAAGCTTTAATAAAACATTCTCAGCAGATTTAGATCTTGTAAATCGAATGTCCGGCAACATGTTCGGTATGAGTGGCGTCTGGTATCACGCGGAGTCTTGGCAATGCCGGTCTGCTGTGAAGCAGGTCTGCCGTTTATCTCATATTCAGCATTCCTGCTGGGTATACGCCGCATTTGCCATCACCAATCACCAACAGCTGACTGGAAGCAGTTACTGACGAGCATTAGGACATTAGGAAGAGGAGGGTGACGAGGAGGAGGAGGAGGAGCAAGAGGCCTTCTTTCAGCTTGGAGCCAGGTCTCGTCCGAAAAGCTGCTGCAGCGAAACGGTCCAGCAGAGCCCACGCCTCCGGCCAGGCGAATCGGGCTTCGATGCATCATAATGAAGTGTTAAGCAATGTCGGTAGTGCCACGATGGATGTTTTCAAGGTTTCGGGATGATTCAATGCGCAAGCAGTAGAGGGCTCTGGAGCTGTCCACGACAGCCACAAAAAACCACAGAACACAATGAAACCCTGCAAAATCTTTCATATACCCTAAACAGACTCGAAGTAAGCCAAACAAACCGACGAGATTTGCCTCATCCCTTGGGCTGGTCTCGTCGTGAAAATCAGAGGAAAGCTCCTGCCGGTCCCCATGGCAGCTCTCTTCCACGGGATCGGGTGGTTTCAACCTTGGGGTTAAGCATTCAGGCTTAGAGTGTTAGAGGAGTCTGATGCGCAATCGACGCACACTTCGCATGCGTTGCACGGCAAATGGAAGCTAAGGGGAATTCCACACCAGGCTTTTCCAGAGTGCGACATGCCACCGTAACGGGGACTTCCACACGAGGCGCTGCCAGCAGAGTCATGTTATATTCCAAACGAGGGGTGACCAAACTATTATTACTACCATTACTACGATTACCATTGCTACTATGACATACTATGACTACTGTTACTACTATTACTTTACTACTACTATGATTCTGCTTCTCGCTATTCCTATCATCACTGCTGCTACTCTCATGATCACACTACCATTACTACTACTATTCCTATAATTACTACGATGGTTCTGACTATCCCAAATCCTGATCATTACTACCTACTACCCTCATCATCCCCCTTGCTATGGCGATCCTCAGTCGGATCGGCTGCTGAGTTTGTCATAGGGACCCTTTGGGGGGGGGAGAGGGGGACTAGACCTCCTTAAATAGGCCTTATTAAGTCCTGATTATAGGTATTAAACCCTAAACCCCAAACCCTAAACCCTGACGGTATCAAGGCCCCCTCCCCCAAACCCCCCCTATTGTCCCCGACGTCTCCTGGAGCTCCAGCTCCATCTCCTCTTCGGTCTCACGGAGCTCCTGCGCTTTAGGGGGGGACCATAAGAGTACCAAAAGTAGTACTGTAATTATACTGTAATAGTACTATAGTTACTATAGTAGCACTGTAACTATACTATAATAGTGCTATAGTAGTACGATGATAAGATTATTAAGATTATAACGGTATTATGATAAGACTAGAACAATACTGCAATAATAATGGGTGTACCAAAAGTAGTACTACAGCAGTTGGCAGGATACCACTGAGGTCCGAGTTTTCACTCATGGAGCTGGTCAATCACTAAGGCGCTTCCTCTGCGTCTTCCTCCTCCAGCTCCTCCTCCTCCTCCTCCTTATCATGAGCGCCACCCCAGGTCACGACGGATCCATTGCCAAGAATGGCAGCAAAAGCAGAGTCGGCGGCTTGGATCTGCTGCACGTTCTTCAGCTGATCCTGTACCGCACTACTGTCACCACCGCAGCGAGCAGTGCCCCAGGTCACGACAGAGCCGTCGGCACGAATTGCAGCAAAAGCGGAGTCGGTGGCTTGGATCTGCTGCACGTTCTTCAGCTGATCCTGTACAGCACTACTGTCACCACCGGAGTCAGCAGTGCCCCAGGTCACGATGGATCCATCACCAAGAACGGCAGCAAAAGCGGAGTCGGTGGCTTGGATCTGCTGCACATTCTTCAGCTGATCCTGTACAGCACTACTGTCACCACCGTAACCAGGATGACCCCAGGTCACGATGGATCCATCACCAAGAATGGCAGCAAAGGCGCCGAAAAGCGCGCTTCGGACGGCTTGGATCTGCTGCACATTCTTCAGCTGATGCTGCACTTCACGGCTGTCACCACCGCAAAGAGAAGCACCCCAGGACACGACAGAGCCGTCGGCAAGAATGGCAGCAAATGCGCGCGTATGACGGCCTTGGCCTCGGACGGCTTGGACCTGCAGCACATTCTTCAGCTGATCCTGTACCGCACTACTGTCACCACCGGAGTGAGAACCACCCCAGGTCACGACGGATCCATCACCAACAATGGCAGCAAAAGCGGAGTCGGTGGCTTGGATCTGCTGCACGTTCTTCAGCTGATCCTGTACCGCACTACTGTCACCACCGCAGCGAGCAGTGCCCCAGGTCACGACAGAGCCGTCGGCACGAATTGCAGCAAAAGCGGAGTCGGTGGCTTGGATCTGCTGCACGTTCTTCAGCTGATCCTGTACAGCACTACTGTCGCCACCGTAGCGAGCACTGCCCCAGGTCACGACAGAGCCGTCGGCACGAATTGCAGCGAATGCGCCCCCATATCCGGTACGAGCATAGCAGGCTTGGATCTGCTGCACATTCTTCAGCTGATCCTGTACAGCACTACTGTCACCACCGTAACCAGGATGACCCCAGGTCACGACAGAGCCATCGGCAAGAATGGCAGCAAAGGCGCCGCGACTCCGGCCTCGGACGGCTTGGATCTGCTGCACATTCTTCAGCTGAGCCTGTACAGCACTACTGTCACCACCATCGTGGAGAGCGTTGCCCCAGGTCTCGGTGGATCCATCACCAAGAATAGCAGCAAAAACGCCTCCAGTGGCTTGAACTTGGACTGCGCGTATGCGTAATGTCAGCGAATCACCATTCTGGAGCCGGGCCCGTTTCAGCGGTGCACATACATCCAGAATGCCTCCGGATGAGTCCACCAACTGCCCTTTCCCCACTTCGAGCACCATCTCGGCACGACGTTTCAGCGCACCTGCTGCCTCCTCCAAGTCGGCTTTCACCGTAGCTGCCCTGCCGCTCAGCAATAGAACTTGCACAGTTAGCGACATCTTATGCGGTGGAAAAGCACAAAAGTCGAGGGGGTCGGGCTTCTTACAAACGGAGGCTTGTGGCAGCAGACAGTCGAAGCACAGGTGGTCTTCAGGGTTTAGGGTATTAGGGTTTAGGCTTTCGGGTTTAGGTCTTAGTAATCAGAATAAGGTTTTGGAAAATATGGTAGTACTGACGAACCCCAAGGAACATGTTTGATTGTTCAAGGGCTGAAGAGCTTTCTAGGGTTGGGATTTTAGGTCTACTAATAATATCTAATTATACTCTAGTAATACTATATTTATACCATACAACCATATTAATGCCATAGTCTTACATGCTCGCCCAGAGTTGGGGTGTTGGTGGGTCCATTATGGTATGACTACTATGGGGGCTATAAGGGATACTATTCCCAACTGTTGCGAATTGCATAGAACTTTGGGCAGAGAGCTCTGATGCTACGGCCGTTTGCAGCAGCTCGCACGACGCAGCCCGCACGACAGCCATCTTGAGGGATCTGCACTGAAGGTCTTGGATGTGGGGCTCAGGGTGACAAGACTCGGCCCCATGTCCTGAAGCTCTGTCTCCAACAGGTCCAGCTCTGTTTCCAACTGCTGCTGGTCTTCTAAGAGCCGTGCCTTCGGCCAGGACAGGTCCGAAAGCTGTCAAAACGAACTTCCCTGGTCCGAAAACCGATAAATTAAGCCCTGACAAATTAAGCCCTGAACCGACGAACCCAACACGAAACTGCCTCGGGCAAGGACAGCAGCCGCAGTGCTGGCAGGACCCTCTCGCAGTCCAGCCCAGGCAGGGGCGTGTCCAAGGCAAGCAGTGCAGACTCCAAACCTCGAGTTTGGAATTCGGAAGGTTATGCAGGAACGGGGGTAATTACAGCTGCCTGTGAAGACTGCAAGGGCAACAGAAAGCGGCTTTTCGTTTTTTAAGTCAGTTCCAGGAGCTGCCTGGACTTGAGGAAGTAGGTGCACGGCAGAGCGGGCAGGAGGATTGCCTCTCCAGCCAGCCGTAGATGCACTCGTGGTGCCACTCCCGGTGCCCACAGGGGAGGCACACCTCTTCAGAGCTCCGAGGAAGGAAGCAGATGAGGCAGCTGGGAACGTCGACATCCTCTGCAGGCGGCTCCATCCAACGAGAGCCGGCTGCTGCCTACTTAGGGCTGCTGCTGCTGCTGCTGCTGCTGCTGGTACTGCCTGGTACTGCTGGTTTGGGGAGCCAAAGCATCTGCCTCCGATCAAACTGATAGCTCGTGCCCTGTAGACGCTCCGCAGACCTCGATGTTGCTGTGAGAAAGGCATGCATCGATCAACGCTCCTTGGGCAAAGGAGGCACCCTGCCTTCCAATTTGGAGCTGACGGACGCGACAGTTTGAGTGAGATTCTGCTCCGATGCTCCGTGCTGGGGGCTGAAAGCCGTTGGAGCTCGAGCTCGGGTCCGAGGCATTTCGGTGCAACGGGTGTGTTTTTCTCCTGTGGGCTCCACTTCAGGCCTCGGGCACAGCGCAGCTCTCTCTGGCATTCACTGCTTTTTGCGGACTCACGCATCGAAGGTCAGATACCTCGGGTGTTCCAGCAAGTGCTACGACAATCTTTGCTTTCATTCAATTTTGTGGAGTGTGGCAGCAGACGCCTTTCTAACTCATCGCGTCTACAGAATCAACTTCCCTCCGTACCTTGTAGGTGTTTCAAGTTGGACAGGCCAAGCAAAAGGCTCCGTGCCAAAACCCTGCCAAGCCATCCACAGCCCCCTGTGCGCAAACAGGGTACTGGAGCAACCGAACCTCCCTGAACCCCGCGGGTCCGAAGCCAGGGCACAAGCAGAGCCGGGTCGATGCCCCAGGTCGAGCCAGCAGGCTTCGGCGGTCTCGATCCTTCAAAGGCTCAAGGCCTCTCAAGGCTGCAAGAACTCCCATCTTCAGGATGTGATAGAACGACAGCAGAGCAATCCAGGTTCACAAAGAGACCTCCCATACATAGACACATCGATAGTCAGCAGGGCAAGGTAACTTGTAGCTAGCACGCAGCTCTTGCACGTTGGCATGACAAGCTGCTCGCAGTCGGGATTCTGAGAAAAGCAGTAGTAGGAAATCTTAGTGAACTCTTAACTATCGGCATTTCCAGTTCTCGCCAAGGACAACTCGGGAAGTTGCCAGACTCCGAAATCGTTCCAGCCCAGACCGGGCAAAAAACTTCCGAAGGTCGGTCCCACTCCACCCCTCCCCCCCAACTTCCGGTCCGCTGCGAGCAGGAGCGGGCGCGCACTGGCAGGCGCCTTCTCTGCCAGAGCTCCGAACCTCAGCTCGGAGAGCAAAAGAGGGAAGCTGAAAGGCTTGGAGGCTTTAGGGACTTTAGTGGTTTATGCCTTCAGGGCTCAGGTTTTGGAGTTCGTAGACAAATATAGATTATCTACATAGAGGGAGCTTCTTAAGCAGCAACACCAGACATGACAAGGCTGGGATGAGTGGTTTGTTTGGGATGGGATCAGCATCTTCTTGCAAGACTCCTCGCCCTTCTACGCCTGTTCATGCATCCCAACGACACGTCACACCGCAAAGCTCCTCGCCTGTCGCTTGCGCACCGGAATCTCCCGCAACAGAAAAGCAGCCTGCTCAAGCCCAAGCTTTCATGCCCAGAACCCAGATGCTGTAAAGCCGTACATCCAGACCCTGAACCCTATACCTCCAGGTGCAAGCCCAGCCAATCCGCACGACCTACAGCCCAGGCACGTGCCAGGCAGGGCCGGCATGGTCTTGGTTGCGCTTCAAATGGCAACATGACTCTGAATGAAAACCGACGAAACCGAGGTTGAGGGAGACTCCAAAAAAGCAAAACCGTTCTGAGATGTCCCGGCAGCAGTGGACCGAGCAACACCATGCGCAGCGACCAGCAGCGGCCGTCCAGAAGAGGCGACAGCAGCCAAAGACAGGAGCCAAAAGGACAGCCAGTGGTCGACGCTCAATCCTGGCCCCAAGACGCAAGCATCTCAGACCAGCAATCCACAGATGAAAGCTAGGCTGAAGAATTGCCGACTTAGGAGGCGTAAGTCCTGCTTCCGAGCACTTGCCCAGGAGAGACAGAACCCCCTCCAGAGGAAAGTTGTCGTCCTTGGCACTCTTCAGCTGGCTCACCAAGTCGTTGACATCCTTTTCTGCCATTTGTTCCTTGGCCAAGAGCTGCTGCATCTCCGCCTCGGACAAGTCCAAGCCACAGGCCCCGCAAGGGGCCAAAAGCTCCGAAGCAGCGGTTTTCACGGAGAGTTTGCCAGAGCAGCTGGCGCCTAAGGGGCACTGAAAGCAGCGTGCAGCATCCTCTGGCACCTGACATCGAGTGCAGCAGCAATGGAACTGCCATCGCAGCAGCAGGTGTCGGCGCCACGAGGTTGGCAAATGTAGGAAGTGCAGCATCGGCAGCGCGTTGTGCTCAGGGTAGCCTCGGGGCCCGGCATGAAAACAAAAACCTCACTCAACTTGGATCCACTCACCCTACTACGCCCTCCAACCGCTCTGCCAGCAAGAGGTGAAGAGGGGCATATGCAGAGCTCTTTCCCCGGCTCGATGCCCATGGTAGCCACGGCCATGAGCTCCCCAGGCTCCCCGGTGGGCAGCAGCCGCAGATTGGGCTCGCAGGAGTGATTGAGCCTTGACTTCGCTTCTACCAGTCGGCCTTCTAACCCACCCGGCCAGGCCGGTTGGGGGCTTCGGGCTAAGCATGGCTCGAACGGCTCGACTTGCAGCTTCGCAGCCTGCTGATGGTGTGGAAGATGCCCTGTTCCACGCCCCTCCGGCTCGCGAAAGAAAGCTTGTTAGCGTCCCAGACCTTTGCCCGCAAGCCGGAACCCTGAATCCAAACCCGGCAAGATCAATATGAACGAAGCATGCAAAGTCGTCAAATACTTCAGGTCTTAAGATAGGTGCCTTGTGTTCGGGGTCGGGGGGATCCTTTGCTTCTTGATGAGGGATACGAATACAACGTCTGGACTGTTGAATTGCCGACCACTTTGCGGCTCAAAGCTTTTGTGGCTAAAAACTCTCGGTGCCAACGAGGTCCAGGGCACGCGCAGAAGGGTCCAAACCCGGGGGAAATCCTTTTCGGCTTGTTTCAGGGACCAGAGACCACTCTGCACCATGGCCTGCTGCAGCTTCTCGCCGTGCTGTCCGATCACATCGCTCAGGGCATTCTCTCCATCCTCTACTCCTTGCTTTGAGGCTTTGAACTCACGAACTGTCGAATTGATGGAGTATCTAGTTCTTCATGCAGATCAACAAGTCCAAGACGCTCGAAACAGACAGAGAGGCGGGGCAGTACAAGCTCTCCAACAAACGTCGGGCCCTCCAGCCGAGAAAACCCATGGCGGGAATCGGGCTGGCCCCTGCAGGAACAGAGAGAACGGCACGTTCCACCAGGACCACGCAGCCCTTCTCTATCCGTACACGCGCCACGAGCGCCTTGCCACGATGCGATGTGTCCACCGTCTCATACTTTTTTGCAGCCTGCCGCAACCGGGCGAGCTGCCGGCCAAGCGCCAGGATAAGCACAAAGAGGGCTCCGAAGATCGCTACATAGGCTGCCGGGGCTGCAGGGGGCCCCGAGGGCCCATCGGCCGGGAAGACCATGGCCCGGCTGCGCCGACATCCGAATCCCACTCGTCCCACTCGTCCCTTACGCTTCCCGACAATCTCCTGCAGTCCGCTGGCACTACAGTAGAGCTCCCGCAATCCTACCTACCTACGTGGAGCCCCCAAATGGTTTGGGCAGTGTCATGGCTCAACTGGGCCAGACGAATTCTCCAGAACTTCAACAGTGGCAAACGCACGCACGTGCCACAGAGCAGCTGACTAGGTGACCAGCTGCTGGCAGTCCCTGACTCGTGCTGATGATGTTTTCAGGCGCCAATCGGACTCATCATGCCGACCTCCCCGCTGACTTACCCCACAGTCAGGCAATTATTACCGACCTCAGGCACCGACTGGCTCCCACTCAGGAAGCACGGGAGCGCGCGGCTGGCAACACAGAGGGCTGGTCCAGGGGGCCCTTTAGCCACTTTTGCACTTGTGACGCAATCTGCACGCCCTTGGACCAGCTAGAAACACATCCTGCAACACTGTACAACTCAACAGTCTCCGCTCAAAGGCGCACAAGGCAGCTGGGTAATCGGGACAACCCATTCGACGGAGATTCCTAGAGCCGAGAGCGGAGAGGCTAATTCGAGGCCCGGGGAAAGCCCAGGGCTCGCGTGAGCACCTGATGAATGGAGGGCAAAGGCGAACTCCTGTGCAACAGCTTGAAGACTAACTTTTCAAGTTGATGCCAGCATTATGCCAAGGAATCGCACTTACGGACCCCTGTGCCCACAAATTCAATCAATCAGGCGGTGAACACTTCTGCGGCCTACTCTTCTGGACTCCACTGGGCTTTGGGAGCGGCATACCGAGAAATTGCATCTGAAACCATTGCTGCCTGAGGGCCCAGAACAGTGGCGCATGCCTTGGAAGTTCTACCATACAAGTCAGTGCTCGCTGCACTGCTGGCATCCTCCCTCTTATCGGGAGAAGCGAACTACGCTATTCACTCATAGTCCTCGTCATCGTCGTCGGCCCTGGCTTTTTCAGCCTTCCGCTTTCGGCCTCCTTTGTTCGGCACGCCATTGCCCGGAAGATTTTCCTTGCCGGCGACGCGAGCCTTTCCACGGCCCTTGCCACGGCCTTTACCGCTTCGCTCCTTTTTTGCAGGCTCCTCAAAACCCGGCTCAGCGTTGGCGTCCGCCTGCTTCTTCTTGCCAGGCAGGTTGCCAGGCTTTCGGACAGCGACGGCGGGAGCCTCTTCTTTCGACTCGTCTTTTCCGTGAGCAAGCGTGTTGATCAGCTGCTCCAGTGCATCTAACGCAGATGCCGCCGCAGCGCTTGCTCCCTTGGCACCACCGCCACCTCCCTCGGCAGCTGCTGCATCCGGCTCGGCGGGTGCGGCCTCACCCTTCTCCTTGCCTTGTCGAGGCTTGCGCGCCTTCTCCACAACACTTAGGATGCAATCTCTAACCACAGCGTGGTAGGACAAGCTGAGATTCAGGGCCTTCCTCACCACGACGACATCATGCAAACGCAGGATGCATCTGTCGGAGTAGTTCATGGCTCCAAGTGCATGTGCTAGGCAGGAGATGGTGTCCTCCACCCGTACAGGGCCCGCCTCTTCTACTTCCATTTCTGGTTCTGCCTGTGTCGCCGTCGGCTCGGTGTGGGCACCCGAGCCACCGGCACACTGTTCAAGGCGCAGGGAGAATTTCTCGATGAGGCCCTCGATGTGCTTCTCCTTCTCCACAAACTGCATGATGTATTGCACACGGCCGGTGGCCCCGCCCTCGACACCGACCTCAGCCACATGCTCGGGCAGCCGCGCCACAATCTCAGGGAGCAGGTTGTAGACGACGTTGGTGCTGCGTTTCGAGAGCTCCTGGAAAAGGATTCGAGCGACCCGAGCCGTGGCTTCATGGCTGCATGCAGTGAGCCACAGCGCCCGAATCAGTAGCACGGGCCGGGGCTTCATCATGTCGTTCAGAACCAGGTGCGTCAGAACCAACAATGCGGTCAGTCGAAGATCGCAGGCACTCTGACCGCCCTCCTCGCTGCTGTCCACGGTTGAAGTCAAGGTGGCATAGAGGCGTCCTGTCCTGAGCTCTGCCGCACGAACACCGCTGGAGTAGTATCGTTCTCTAGGCCTTTACAAAAAGAGCGCCCCATGGAGGGACCGAAAAGGGCGCCTGGAAGAGACGCTGCGCACTGCTCGCCGAGGCTCCAAGGCTCCACGACGTTCGGATGCCGGAAGAGGAGGTCACCAACGGCCACCAACAGGGATTGCCGTAAGGTGAGATCCTGCGAGGGACGGGACCCGGCTGGGCACTGAAACACTGAAAGTCGTTTCGCTCAGAGGTCTCGGAAGGCTTGGCACCTCGATCAAATCTGAGTTACAGCCGAGCAGTGGCTACCAGTAGCTTAGTTAGTTGAAACTTCTGGCTGCTTGCATCAGCAGAGCCTTCTAATGTTGCGACATGCTGCGATGGAGGCATTGTTTAGGGGCGCCCGCTCTGCTTAGGACTTTTAAATTCCACTCACGACATACTCTTAAATCAATCCATGAAATCTGAGGAATCCAGGCTGTCTACATCGCTCTGGCAGTGGCAGTGCTACTGGTCGTGGTAGCAGTAGTGACGGTCGTCATGGTCATGCGTCGTTGTTGTGCCGATAGGTCGTTGCTATGGTGGTTATTGCGGCGGTGGCAATGGCAGGTAGCAGCAACCGCAACAGCAACAGAGGGGCAGAAGCTGCCAAAAAGTCGCAGTGGCACTAGTTGCGGCGGTGGTAGGAGGCGTACTAGAGCTGGTGCTGGTGTTGGTGCTGGTGCTGGTGCTGCGGTGGTGGTGGAGGGGGCGGCACCGGCGGTGGCGGTGATGAGTCGGTGGCGGCGCAGTTGCATGGTTAGGGTGGTAGTTGCTGCTGTCGTTGTTGTTGTTTGGACGCGATGCTGGTGTGGAAAACGGTTGGCTTATGTTGGCGTTAGGCTTGCCGGTCTTAGAGGCGTCTCCTCCAGAAGACCACCAGGGCCCATCACAGCATCCTCGTCAGGGCTCAAGCTGCAGAGTCCCGGGGGGGGGGGGCATCTTGCTTTGGTGCGGGGCGATGAAACTCACTTGAAGCAAGTGGAAATGTGAAGCCATATACGAAGACTGCTCTTTTTTGCAGCTCAATCCTGGGGTCTCGGTGCCTTCCCAACCAATGACAGCCTCATGTTTTGCTGATTGAACCTTGAGTGCGTAACACTAATTTAAGCATCACCTCGTCGTAGCCACCAACACATAAACACATGTACACTGTTTGCTTACCTACCTGCTTGCGTACCTACCAACCTACCCAGCTAGATACCTACTGCACCTGCATACATATCTGCCAGCATACCTGCACACATGCAGGCATGCATTCTGTCTGCCCTGTATAATAGTACGTGCATTGCATCCTGGGGCGGAAGTCCACCTCCCCACTGCTCCCCGTCCCGGTGTAGTGCGGACATATATCGGTCGGCTGCTGACGCCCAGCAGCCCGCATTTTAACGCCACAGTTCCAAGAAGAAAGGGTCGTTTTAGGATCTCATAGTCGGGCTGGCACGCGGACTGTGCAGGGTGATGGGCTCGGTTCACACAAATTGAGGTAGCGAGTGTCAGACCCTTGTGCACGCCCTGAACCCGTCCTCGGCTGCTGCCCCACTCAGCTGACCCTTGCCCGACTTCGGGAACAGCACAGAGAAAAGCAGCTGCAAGTTCTCCTGAAAGGACGAGGTTCTGAAGCTCAGGGTTTGCGGGCTGGGTTCGGGTTGACCCTACAAGTCCGTGTGGCAAGAAGAATGGCGACGACCATACGCTTAGTAGATGAGACAGTAAACACCTGGTAAAGCAGAGTGTAACTATGGCAGCAATGATAACAACAGCCAGGAGTGGCAATCGTCCTTGCACTAGTGGTCAACCGGAGATGATGAAGACGTCACCGGGGCCATATTGAAGGACTTTTGATATTCTGTTCTATTCGAATCTAGTCTGGTCTATCCTATTCTGTTCTTTTCGAACCTCGTCTACTTTTGTCTAGTCCATCTCTTTTTTCTGTGTCATGTAGTATCATCTTCAGTCGCAAAGGAGAAACGTTAACAATAATGAGAAATCAAAACGAGCGTTGAGGCCGCGGGGAATGCTCTGACCCTGTCCCCCGGTGGACTCCTGGCAGAAGCGCTTCGATACCTGGATTGTCTAGCGTCTGGGCTTCGTGTTCGGGACCTTCGGGGCTTGGCCCTGGGAATCTGAGCTCATGATCCGGTGCTTAGGAAGGCTTAGGAGTCTCGGTGCAAGTTCGGGGGCAAGACCCACAATGGAGTCTCACTCACTCCCGACCACCCCAGTCACCTCAAGCCCTGAGCAAGGCCACAGAGAGGGGCTTGGGGGGGGTTCTGGAGCATGCGAAAAACAGAGCCTCGTGCATTACTCAAGAACTGATGCCCCATGAGCCGTGGAGTTTTATCCAGTGCTCACATGTCCTGAACAGCCTCTAACGTGATTTGGCTGCTTGCTTCAAGGGCACTGTCATGAACTTGCAGAGGCTGATGGCCCCAACCCGGCGTATCAGCGGATACATGCGAAGATCCTTGTTGAGCAGGCAAGCGAAAAGAAGCGGCTTCACCTCAGATGGCAACCGACATGAAGTTCCCTCAAAATACAGGAAGCCCGGCGATCTGTCATCTCTCAGGAGGTAAGTTGGTTCTGAAGAGGGTGCCGGGATGCCCTGTCCAGCAGGCGATTGGTGCTGTAGAGGAGTCCATTTTCTGCAAGCTGTGCAAAGGCCTCACCACAGAGAAAACGGCAAAAAGCAAGCATCTAGAATCTAGCCGAAGCTAGCCACTGAGGTGAAGCAGGCACAAAGTTTGCGGCCAAACTCCGGCAAGAGTCAAACCTTCAACACACATCGACCCAGGCCTCGGCTTCGCGCTCTTCCTGGCCGACGCCGCCCATACTCGCCTGAGGCCAACAGAAACTTGAGACCGGCTTGGAAGAAACGCCAAGTTTCGTTTTGCCCTGCAGCTCCCCAAAGGGAATGCTGAAGAAAGGGCGACCCTGAAACAGCTTCTGAAAACTCGACGCCTCAAAAGACCCGAAACTTCCCCTGCTGTCGCTCCCGTCTCGCGCAGGCCTCCGTGTGCTTCTCCTCCTGCATGGCACGAGGGATGTCGGCCATTAGGCTTATAGGGGTGCTTTACCTTAACAATTAGAACAGGGTTTTGGGGCCCATTTTACTCTATATATATATATATATATATATATATCTATGTAATAAGGAACCTCCAAAATGGTATAGGTAAGTGTTTAGGCCCCTAAAGTACTGGCCAAGGCTGTTCGGCCCCTCGGCCTCCTCTTCATCCGCCTTCTGGGCCTTGCCCTTCTTGCCCACGGCCTTCACAAAGCCACGAGGCAAGGCTCAATGGCCCCCGAAGCTTTGCACTTGGAGACTTTGGCACCGAGGCAAGGATAATAAGTTAGGGAAAGGAGTAGACAAGGTAATCTACTTGGCTTTTCACCGCTACAGCATGTAGAACAGGGAAATCCCGAGAACCGGTTTCGAGACTTCGTTCCGTATCCGGGGGGTGTAAGGAGCCTAAACTGAAGGACAACCCAAGGACAAAAAGTCCGTTGAAGCGAAGAGCAGCGCGCTGTCGTGGCTCACAAGAAGCTCCTGTGATACATCCATCGTTTTCTGTGCGGGTGCCGGAGCTCTTCAGTTTGGGCCTGGCCTTAGGGACCCGTGAGGTTTTGGACCCCCAGTCTGGACTTGTACCATCAGCTGCTATAACAAAGGGGCCTTAATAAGTAGAATAGGGATATTGATATTATACTATAATTCTAGTAAGGAACCCCCGAAACCCTAGTCTACCGTAACTATTAAGGCCCCTACCTTAGTGGAGTGCATCCCATCTGGTGCCTTCTTCTCCTTGCTCTTCTCTCTCTGCTCGGCCATCTTCGCCTCCTCCTGTGCCAGGCGCTTCCTCGCGGGGCAAGAGGACTCCGGCGGAAGGGTGTGTAAAATTGGGGCCTTAATTATTCTTAATAGGGTTTAGGGGCCCCTTATCCCATAGCCATCGTAAGGAACCGCCAAAATAGTACAGGCAATTCTTCAGGCCCCTATATTGACTTCGCAACTCTCAACCTTTTGGAGGTTCTGATCGAAGAAGGGCAAGCTCAGCTAACAGCAAACGGACATGTCTCAGCAAACTGAAAACGCTACCTCAATGCCCGAGTCTACAAACTTAACTGACGTGCCATCTGCGAGGGCTTGATAATACGGCAGGTTGCAGAGTATGTGACCTATGTCTGACGCAACGAGCCTCTTCAGCGCAGACTGCAGCCCTTCAAGGAAGATGAGCATCCTGATCGGGCCACCCTTTCTTGCACTCCATGCTTCTGTGTGTGAGAATGGAGACCTGCTATTACTAGCAATGTCATAACACTTCCGATAAATCCCATACGAGCAACGACTTGTCTATGCAATATTATGCAATTAACGGCACCATGGTGAGCAGGAAGAAGGAACATGATAGGGAGATGCTGACAGCCGTACGAACGACAACAACAAGAATTCTGGCTGTATGCTGCACATAGGTACAACTGAGCCAATCATTATCCATATCGGTGACGGGTGAGTTCAACCAAAGTTCAACCAAAAGGTGGAACCCCGATCCCTGCCGCGCCTCAATGCCAGATGGCCAGCAATGAAAGCCACGCAGCCCAGCTGTGGAACGGACACCTGGCGCACCTGGCGCTCTGCAAACTGACATAGCTGCAAAAATGACGCTCCGCGACTTGAACTCTCCGGATGGTCCACCATTCAACCCACGAAACTCCCTAGTTCCCGAACCCTGCACAACACACCCTGAGATCCCGAATCCTAAAAGCCCGGGCCCCATGCCCTCAAAGACCCCAACCCCCAATCTGAAAAACTACGCAAGAAGCCCCAAACCGTACATATGACTCCCCTTGACTCCCAGACGGACTAATACTCATACTGATATTTTTACTATTATTATGACCACTATTACTATTATTATTACTATTCTTCTGGGGACGACACCAGCTCCTCAGGCTTCCCCTCGGCGCCCTCCGCCTCCGAGGCCTTGGGCTTAGGGTTTAAGGTTTAGGATGGCTTAGGGCCTAAGGTTTGAATTTATGAAAGGTGTTAGGGCGTAGTGGTTCGTGTTTACAGCGCACAGTTTTGGAGTAGACCGCAGTGGGTTTCAGGGTTTGCAGTTTGAGCTGAAGGCCTCCAGGGATGAGAGCACACGGGATGTGGCTTGTTGATGGCTTGTTGAGATTTAGCTCGTCGGGTACGGATTTGGGCCTGGGGGCATTGTGGCTAAGGCTTTCTGGTGTTTAGCGGAACTTCGGGTTTCGGTCCGGGTTTGGGTTGTTAACTTAAGTTTGGCATATAGGGCACTTAGGGTGAACGAGATCAAAGACTCGATGCATGGATACATGCTACAAGTTCAATACCAATCAGATGGTGCCACGGGCGGCGTGGCTGCTGGGCTTGCAGAAAGCTGCATGCAGCGTTCCGGTGCGGTACGTAAACTAGCCACCAATGCGAATCTTAAACCGAAGCCCAGAGTTCCCAAGCCAGAATTCATTTGTCCGGCCCACTTCTGCTTCTGAGATCTACTGAGCACCTGACGGAGCTTTGCGAGCCTTCCCAGGAAAAGCGGTCTGCATTAGTTGAGAAGCATACCTGCTGCCCCGCTCACCTCACTTCTGCCGAACTTTCGGGATAGACAGAGTGGAATCCCGAGTTCCACCTTCTGCGCTAGTGCCGCGATCGCACCTCCCAGAAGGCCACAAAGCATCCGGTTCAGGATGTTCTCCCAGACCTGAGGCGCAGGTTCAGGGGCAGCATACCCCATCAATACCCGGTGATAATCCCGATGTGGCAGCATTGTGTTGCTCTCGTCCACCTGCCCACCTGAGATGCCTTTGGCTAAAAACCGAAACCCTTAAAAACTCCGGCAATGCAAAAAAATCTTCAAATTCCTGTGTTACAACACGCAGTAGACACACGAGAAGCTAACACCGCAAAGCTACCCGCCCAAAAAGTCCGGCCCAACCTTGTCAGGGGAGCGATGAGCAGCGTCGACTGCGGACTTGCCCAGGGCCGCCAGCTCAAAAGACAGATCCATGCTGGCCTGGTAAATTGAACGTGGGATGTTTGCGAGTGTGACTTGGGTTCATGGCAGAGGGAATGCCGAAACTGAGGCTTTGAAGGATACTTCGAAGGACAACTACATGTCGCTTTGCTCTTTGGTGCCCATCTGGATCCCTGTGTTTTTTTGGACAAGGGCTGATGATTGGGGCAGGGCTTGGGGGCATGGGGTAACGATCTTGACGGCAAAACAGGTTGTTGAAATACCGTCTCCCCTTTTTCAGGTCGATGTGTGGACGACATTCCTGACTCGCCGCCAGCTCGTCGTTTTGAGTTACGACATGCAAGTTTTACCAATGCAAATCATGCATGTGCTCATGTTGACCCCTTCTGACGAGTCTGAAAACAACCACGTTGCCGAATATGCTGGCCATGGTGATGAACATGACGGTGGGGACAATGACGATGATGGTGGTGGTGGTGGTGGTGGTGGTGGTGGTGGTGGTGGTGGTGGTGGTGGTGGTGGTGGTGGTGGTGGTGGTGGTGAAGGATGATGATGCTGAGATGATGACTGCTCATCATCATCATCGTCATCTGATCCTGTGATGCTGCTACCACCGATGCTGTCCGCCGCCTCTTGGCTATGACGCTACTACAACTATGACAAGAACGACTATGACTCCATGACAATCACCACTACGACTATTGGACTACTTCCTTGCGCAGTAGCAAGATCAGTAACGTTCCTAGCCTCGCGACTTCTGAAAACTACTCCTGCCCCTACTCATACCAATGCTACTGCTACGATGCCAACCCACACTGCGACAAAACTCAATAGTAAGACGGCCGGTCGAAAGGCTAAAGGCCAAAGAAGCCACAATTTTAACCTAAAGAGCGGAACTCAAGTTTCTCCGGTGGCCTGAGCAGCGCCAAACCAATGTGCCGGTATTTCGCCACTGACGAAGTGCTGGACCACGATGAGCAGGGCCTGCTCGCAGCAATCTCGAGTCCGGTTGCATTACGCAGGCTGCCTCTTGGCTTGGGCCTACAATGGCGTCTGAGAGAACAACCCTTGGACTCTAAGGGCCTGCTGCGAGATGTCGTGCAAGGTGGCGCAGACTGGCTGCTGCAGGGCAGTCTTGCTGGAGGATTGGAAGCGCATGAGGAGCTGGCACACCAACCGGAGGCTTTCCAGACGATCCTCCGCGGAGCCTGCCTTGTGCTGCGTGATGAACTCCTTCAGCTTCGGGAGCGCGGCGGACACCGAGGCGTGCCCTGCCGTTGAAGGCACAAGGGCTGTGATGGCTCGCAGGGCGAAGGCCGACATCGAGGGCTCCGTGAGCGATGCCAGGAGCGTGGGCATCACATCCCGGGCAGACACGAGCTCCTTGTCGGCGGCCTGTTGTATGAGCTCCTGCACACTGGCGAGGTGTGTGTGCGTGAGGCTGCCTGCTGCGTGGCCATCCCTGTAGATGTGCAGAATCGCCATGGCGGCAGAGGCCGCGTCTCGGCCTTCGAGATGCATGCGATAGAAGGCGTCGACGGCCGCATCCTTGATGGGAGCATGCCGGCTCCACACGAGGCCCAGCACCTGATGAAAGGCTCGGGCTGCAGCAGGAACGCCACGCAGGCGGAGCTCGACAACAACACCGATGGCCTCGGTGACATCCGTCGGAGTCTTCGAGGACAACAGGCTCCGCAGCCGCGTCTCTGCCGAGTCGAGTAGCTCTACGAACTGGACCCTCTGTGCATAGCACTCCTGCATGCGGAGGAGGGCCTCCCGCTGCTTCTGGCGAGACTCCTTTCGTGCATCGTCGGAGCTGATCTCTGCTGACAGGTCTTTGTCCACTTCCCGTGCAATGCTAACCTCGGTCTCGGTCTTGCCCTTGACACGACGCCGCTTCTCCGGCTGCTCTTGCGGCTCGTCGTTGCCGTCGGCATCCTCTTCCTCTTCCTTCTCTTCCTCTTTGCCCTCCAGCTCCGCCAGCTCTTCGGCCTTGAGCTTCTTGAGGCGCTCGTGGATTTCCGTCAGGAGCTTCTCCGCTTTCGCCCGTTCGTCGCCCGTACCCTTCAAGGCAGGGCCATAGGGATGAAACTCGACCAGGGTGCGCACGAGCTGCATGGCTGCCTTCCTGGACATGCTCGCCTGAGATATACGGCACTTCAGGAAAACGCGAGCCTCGGCTTCACCTGACACAAAGCGACCAAGCGGCCGTGTCCTGCATTCGACGAATGGCGAGATCAAGAACTCGTGGCCACTGCTCCCTGCATCAAGATCGATTTCTGAGGTCTCTGGACTCTACCTTTACTGCTGAGGGTTCTGTTAGAACTGCCTGGGCAAGCGCGAATTGGAGGCCAAGCCCGTCAAGGTCTGCAGCACGCGGTACCGGACCCAGACGCTCTTGTCCAGCGAGCGTGTGAAGAGCGTCTCCAGCCTGGGTGCCCCCAAAAGAGCTTACGGCTTGGAGAACATCTGTGAATTTCAAGCTTAAAGAAATACTCAGCGCTGAAAAGTTCGAGCTCTACCAGCCCAAAATTCAGGAGACACTCACGTCTGCAAGTCTAGCCGTCTAGAGTCTAGTCAAGTCAAGGTGCAAGTCTGTCTTTGTCGCAGTCGCGAGGGAGAAGGTGCCACTGCTACTCTGCACAATTTCCTCGCAGAGGCACGAGTTCTCAGAACACGAACAGATACGAATAGAAATCTTCTGTTCTTCTGGCACGCAGTCAATTCAAGGCTCCCGATCTTTCCCCTCTGTGGAAACCCTCCATTTCAAAATCTTGCCGCTCCCTCTATCCAATATAATGGCACTTTGAATACTGTATTCTTGCTGCGCACACATGATGGGATCCTTAATACATGAGTTTAGGCATAATTGCCTTGATTCCCTCATAGAACCCTTCTAGATCCCTCTAAGGAACCACATGACCGAAGGCACCTGCACCTGTGAACTGTCGCAAGCACGGACTTGGCCAGAGGTTTTTACCGTCTAAATTGTCATCCAGATCCACTTCCAGAAGAGTTCAATGTATCCCAAAAGTGACAGTACGGAAGTACTTTAGAAGTGAAAGAGGAGACTATCTCTGATCTAAGCGGAAAAACTGCGTGAGATGAGGCAGAAGTACTTTGCATGCGCTCTGAAGTGCCCAGTTAAGCTTCTGCACACCTTGGCCGCCAAGTCTGAGAGCCGTGGAGTCGTAGAGCGCCGTTATGGCAACCCAGAAAGCAATCAAATAAACCCGAACTTCAAGGGCTCCTCGGCCGCCTCCTCTGCGTCCTCCGTGGTCGGCTGGACGCTGTGAGCCCCTCTGGGCAGCTTGCGGCCTGGCAGAACTGCGAAGATCAGCCAGAGGCTGCTTTGGAGCTTGCGGGGTGACGAATAAAGTCGAAGACCTAGGCAAGGTCAAGACTTAATTGAGTTTTGAAAAAACGATCCACGAGCAACTGAGAACAGGCAAACCTGGAAGACTGGCGGCAGTGGCTGTGAATGCAACACCCAAGTTTGAGTGGATCTGGGGTCGTTTAGATGAGCTTCTCCGCACCCATGCATTGCCAGACGAGGCCGACCTGACTTGTTAAACCTTGCATGATCACCTTTAAGGTGTAGCGTGTGCTCCACCCCCCACCGAAACAGTCTCTGCTGTTCGCAAGCCCTCAGCCCCTCAACCTTCCCACCCCCGAATTGTCCTATGCACAGAACCCTCCGCGAACGCGGTCCTTCAGCTGACAGCAGATGCCCCATGCTTTCCACGATGGCCTCGCAACAGCGAGCTCACACTTCTGGCTCAGGGCTTGCATCGTGTTTGGGGGGCTTCATGTTCGTTCGGAATCTCCGACACGGCTTGTAGATCGACCCGTTCAAAAATGGAGAATCCAATCACGCGAGCGCACAAGGAAGCCGTTGGCTCCGAAACCTCAATCTACAACGACGCTCCGGACATCGTGTCCCACCCTGCCTGCCGGATGGGATAGCAATCCACGTCCAGAAGAGGAAGAAGCACCGAAATGTTCGCCAGAACCACCTTTCTTGAGTCTTTTGGGGGACATTTGGATTCTTTCCGGATAATGAAACCGTACATGCATGCCAAAGGCAGCACCGAGATAGCCTTATTAACAATGAGCTGAATCCCTCGGTAACACGCTGAACATCGCTTCGGCCCGGTGGCGTGGGGCAGGCGCTCTGCTAAGGCGACCAAGAAAGCGGCCAGGGATCGCTGGAAGGCGCCCTGCTTCAAGGCACTTCTGCTGCAGCCGGACGAAACCGTGTGGGCGTGTGCTTCGTGGCTGTAAGACTCCCGGCCTTTGAAGATTCATATGGGTTCAGGATCTTGGAAAGCACACAACACTCTGGGCTTCAGATCCTCCGAGCCTGGGCAGTGAGCTCTTGGCCACAGTGCCTCGGATAGCGTACTTTCTGTGACGTTATTTGACATCTATGGGGGCTTGTAATAGGCTCGTGTCACAGCCATCAGCGCAAATTGGGCGAACTAGGACAAGTAAGCACAAACTAGCACACAACAGAGCGCACAAGGACATCTACGTTACACCCGCAACATCGGCATCTCTCAATGAATCGTTGCTGGTAGCTGCTCTTTTGGGGTAGGGTTGCGGAGCTAGGGCGGGATTCTGGCTTGGCATTGAAGGTTGGAGTTGGAGACTTGTAAGGGTTTGGGTGTAGGGATTGAGCTTGGGGCTGAGGGTCGGAGCATGAGGATTTTGCCCTCTCAAGGGCTCCGAGCACTTGCTCGTCAGGCCCTTGTGCGCGCAGATAGCTACAGAAACCGACGACAGACAACAAGAATACACGAGCTTACCAGGACCATCACAAGACAGCGCGCACATTTATCACAAACGATCCTAGGTCCTAGGATTACCTGAAAAGAAATTCTGCCAGACGGCTGGGTCAGGTCGACGAGAAAGAGCCTCGGCGATTCGCGACAGCTAAACGAACACTGCAGGATCAAGTGTGGAAAGGTGAAGGTCAAAATCCCACTGGCCGCTTGGCGGATGCTTGCTTCACGTGATCATTACATGGGAAACCACCAGCACTGACTCCACCTGCGTGGGGTGCCGGGCAGCGCTTTGGATTCTACAGTGTTCTACTAGTTTGGAGGCCTAAACCAGGCCCCCTTTGTCAAGAGTCAAGATATGAGGTTCCTTCAAGCCAAGTTGCCTGGGTAGAGGGGTCGTGTGCGCCTGGAGCAGGCACTCGGCCGTGAAGGTGGCAGTACCTGTCACTGCAGGCTGTGATAGGATCCGAAAATGTCGGGCTGGGCTTCAAGCTGACAGTCGAAGCATGATTCGATTCACGGTTGTACCACGGCTCCCCACGACGGTGAACGCAGGGATTTGTACAACCGGCTTCGTACCAGCCACTTACTCCTGAACTCACCAAATTGACAGTCCTCTCGCCGTGCGAGGCTTCCGGGCCTTCGCCGACTCGCAGCCCGTGGATGAGCTTCGACACGGTGGCCACCAGGAGGTTGGAATGCTGTTGGCCCTCCTCCGAAGCGAGTCTCCGTGATGTGAAGCTTCGGGGTGCAGCATCGACCCCCTCCAAGTATCCTGGAGCAGAGGGGCCACGATGCACTGGAGGGCCATCTGCCGCGTCTCGCGGCTCTTCAGTGCCTGGCTGGGAAGCCACTTTATTGAAAACACGAGCATGGCTCACACTTTTGGCTTCACTGCGGCATGAGTTTTAGGCTGGGTGTGTCGGATCTGCAGGGTTAGGGGTCAGATTTCAAAGGAGCCAAACTATGGGTGCGACTGAAACTACCGAACCCGCTTTCACTGGTCACTCTGCCACCTTTTGCTACCTTTTGGATGAAGGCATGGCACCAACTCACCGATCAGGGCGGCAACTTCATGTTGTGCCGTGACAAACGAAACTGCGAAGGCTGAAGCAAGTGCCAGCCCAGAGACTTCTCTTCTAATGCAAGAGAACATGCTTCATCCGTTCAGGTGCGAATATCTTGCCACTGTTTGGAATGAGACTCTGATGGACTTCAACTTCAATCCCGTGCTTTCCGACTCAGCTCTCTCGAAGTCTCCCGGCCTCCGTGGAATCAAGGACGTAGAAGCCGGCATCCGACACGGCCGTGGCTGCCTGCTGCCACGAGGCGGGCTCGCTGAGCCACAGCCAAGGCATAGCTCCTGGAAATTGGCGGTTTTGTGAAGGTGAATATCTCATACTCGAGACGCTGGACCGACGTGCCCCCCAAAAAACGAGCTACGCCTAGAGAGTAACCCGACAGTGGTTTCGCGCAATCTGCCAGCCCCTTCGTGCACACAGCGGGCATCATGGAATCGGAAGCAAGAATCACCTTCTTTCGCAGCCATACCAGCATAAGAGTGGGAAGTCCTCGGTTCACCAGCCCAGCCAACTCCTGGAGCACGGCACATCGCTGCCTCTCCTGCGGAGCAACGAGCAAGGAATTGCTGGGCTTTGGGGCTTGAGGTTTCCCGGCTGGAAGGGTTGAAAGCCCTGAGATTAGGGCTGCAGGGTTGAAGGATTGGGTTTAAAGGCTTAGGGGCCATAAAGGTACGGCCAAGCTCTGAACTATCAGGTTACAGACATTACCTCTCTTCACATACGAATTAAGACTGCATTGAAATGCAATCGAACATCAGAAGAAAATTCAAAGGCGTTGCGCTGACAAGCCTGTCAGCCCAAGACCTTGAGAACCAAACCTCATCAAAACCTCCGAAACCCGCAAAACTGAATCTGAATGCCTGAGGCCTTGAAACACATGACGTTGAAGGCTTTAGACAGTGGAAAAGCCACAGCCTCCACAGCAAGGCACCCCAAACACATCAAGGCAAAACACGGCAAGTCAAGATCATGATAGCAAAGCACCTGGCTCTCAGCTCCGGCATCATGAAACTATAACATAAAGGAACATGCAAATTAATGGAATATAGAAATCCCCAACTATGGCCGCCTGCGCTCTCAGCGCCTCCTTGGCCTCTTCGGCTGCTGCCGCCTGCTCTGCCTGGAGGCTCCGAGCCCGAACCACTGCGAGGAAAAGATGCTAGATGCTAGCCTACTACAGTAGAAGCCAGAAAGGTGGAATATCATTATCGTAACCCCTTTAAGGTAAATTATAGGGGATCCTACCATTAATCCATATTCCAACTTTCTGGAGTTCCCTTTAGCTCTTGGATATATGTGAGGCAAAAGAAAGCAGACGCCAGATCGTTCAGATGAGAGTCTCTGCTGTTTCTGGATACGCATCTGAGCTACAGTCGGACTGAAGAATTCTGGCAATTGACAGGCCGGATTAAATTGATGTCAGCGGATACGAAACAAGCAACAGCGTCGCTAAGAGAGCTAGTGATGGCCTTGGCACAAGATGGACGATCTGCAATAGCAGACCGACTAGTTGCGTTTGTATTAATGTGCAAAGGTACTACGATACCTTTCCGACTGTGTATGTGTGTGTGTGTGTGTACATGCCTGTGCGCATGCTAGAAGCCTTACAGATGGGAACTATATGTGATCAGGGCTCACAGTACGACGCAAGTAGTTCATCTCTAGGACTCTAGGATCAGGAGTGGTGTAAGGACATCATGGGGCTCCGACTGCGAGCTCATGAGATGTCTATCCAACCTGTAACCAGGAGATTCGGATGTTTACGGCTGATCCCGAAAGCTTTCACATTATCTCAGCTTCCAGCCTGCTGCAAAGCTGTGCCTGCCTGCACGCACAGGAAGTTTCAGAAACTGTCGAACTGCACGGGGTCTTGGAGGATTTCAGAAGTTCAGCAGATTTGGAGTAGTTTAGCACAGGGGGTCGAAGCACGACAAAAAGGGAAGCTGCTTCGACTCCTCTTTCGGGTCGTCACAAGGCAGGGCGCTGCAACCAGCTCTGTCGACAAAGTGCGAGAGAAACAAAGCAGTCTTCACACAATCTGCGCTCCGATGTGCAGCGCAACTCCAGGACCCAGCGACGCAAAACCTCTAAGCATGCCAGACCCTTGGATCACGGTAGAATATTTGATGCGACGAATGTCTTGCCTAAGCTTGAGACTTGAAACATCGAGAAGCCCTCGACCAGGCACACACCTCTCCCAAGCTCCAAACTCCCCACTCCCAGGCCTTCGCTCCTCGGCCTCGGCCTCGGCCTTTCCGCGCCTCGGTGCTGCCTCGACAAAGGTGGAGAAAGTGACGTGAGGGCAGTGCTTGGCGGTCGACTACGACATCCGTCCCTACAAGACAGCAAACCTTCAATGCAAGTGAAGACGTAGGCAGGGACCACCATGCAAAGCCCCAACCTTGTTGCATCAGGTATTCCGTGGTCCAGCGGAGAAAGAAGGCCGCTACCTGCCCCAGATGTCATGCCATGAAATCAATCTAGACTTGCATGGGCCCTGTCAATCATTCCGCGGCAATTTGCCGTCGATCGTGTGGCCCCGGGGACGATGAGCGTAGTAGGTGTGTCTTGCAGATGCGGAGACTGCATGTGCCCCACAACCTCCAAAACTCTTCCTGCGAATACTAAACGACGATTGCTCCAAGTCCCAAACCACGAAAGCTGGATGCCTTGGAGGCATTTCGTAGGTCCTTTGACTGGGCTTCGGCGGCTTTGTCCACCTCGCCCAGGTTTCGGGGGGTCAGACAGGACTTTGAGGTAGTCCCAATGTTAGTGTGGGGCCCTGCAGGCAGCCGAAGTCCCTGCATTACGTCTGGATGACCAGGCTTGAGTTCAGCATGACCACGCTATCTCCTTCTTCTCAAGGCTCCGAGATTCCCAGACAACGCTCCGTCGGTCTTTGCGGACTCTACGGGATGGCCTAAGCATCCGGGACCTAGCGGATTCATCGGCCCTTGAAATATGAACCATGCAACCGCAAAGCTCAACTTCAAGCGCCAGGGCCGTGAACCGTCTCGGGGCCTTCGCCGGCTTCGCGCCCTTGCGGACTTTGCCGGCCTCTGCAATCAGCCGCCGGGCGGAATCTGTGAGCAGGTCCACCACCTGGTTTGGGAGTACAGGAGAGGGCCCACCTAAAGGATCATCGGACTTCGCACGCATTGCCTAGAAGTAAAGGGTGCTACACCTGAATTAAAACATGTCTGTTAATGGCCCCAGGCAAGGTAATAATTAACGAACCTGTCACCCTACAACTACGCATGAAGCTTCAAGCAGTGAAGGGTCAGAGCTTTAAGGTTGGGATGTTCGAGATTATGGGCTTCGGGCGTTTTCCGCGCGAAGCCCAGGGTCCGGAGTTCCCCGGCTTCGTGTTGAAACGGCACAAGAGGCTCGGGCCACGCCCGCTGAGAGTGTTCACGGAAGGATGTGCGTGCATAGGTCTGGTCGTGGTCGACGTTCTACAGGTGCAAAGAGGATTTGATTAGGTAAACTTTGAAAGGAGTGCAACAATGAGTGTGCCGTGTCTTCAGAATGCACAATCCATCCAACGCCTCCGATCAGGCCCGGGATGGTCCAGAGTTGGATTTCGAAACTGTTTAAAACAAAAATCGAAGCTCGCAGACTGAGCTCGACGCGCGAGGTGGGATGCTGTCATCGAGCCTGAGTTCGAGGACACAAGTTTCGACGATCGGCAAGACACGAGGCGTCGGTGCCTCAATTACCACTTGCCAGCGGAGCCGGCATCCGATAGCTCCGGTAGTCTGGTATTGTGCAAGTCTTTGCAATTTGCGTGTGCAAAAAAGAGCGGCCCGGGCCCGCCTCGGCCATGCTTGCAAGATCGCGAAGAGCAGGGAGAACATTGATTCATCTGCTAGGTCCTGTGTCGCAACCCCTTGCTTGGCTCAAACTCAAGCGGAGCATCGACCTTTGACCACCGCAAGAAAACTGAAACCCCTGTGATTCGGACAATGCCCCAAGAAGTCAGGAACCTGGCCTGAAATGAAAGGAGCGAGCCAAGTAGAGAAACATAGGGTCCTTTCCCTGGCTTCCCAGGAGCCGCCCCACCAAGCCATCCAGCGCTTTGTTCACTTCCTGGCGTTTAAGATAAATTATGCCCCTTGGCCCGCAGGAACCCAGTCCGGAGCCCAAAACCTCTGCCCTGTCTTCGGGAACTTCACTACACTCTAAGCCAGAACCAGAAACCAACAGAAATCAGTGAAACGGAAGGCAAGTTTGTGACTGGACTTCAGAGCACTTAGGACTTAGGGCAAGTACGAGTGCTTCGCGAGTGCAGGGAGGGGCCTTCTCGGACCAGGACTCCACGCACGGAAGTTCGGAGGCCCAGAGCCGCCCATCGCTGGGCTCCGCCAGTAGCTCCTGGCCGGAGAGGTGAGAGAGGCCGCAGGTCACAGAGGTCGCAGGCCTCAAGTCTTCAAGCATTGTGGGTTAAGACCAGCGATTCCGGCGCTAAGGTAAGGTTGGGGGGGACCAACGCTACACCGCATGGCCGGCCGAGAAAAGGATGAAGAGCCGTCGTGTGACCATGCTGCAGCTGGACCGGGCAATAGAAATTCAACCCTGAGCTGAGTGCCGAAACGCAAACACGCGCCCCCACCTCGGGCTTGAACGGAAGCGTGAACTCCCGCATGGCTACGTCACAATCTGAGCCAAGCTTACTGCGATCCACTCGAAGGTTCTCGATGCGAAGAGAAGAATGGCTCTAGGCATGGCTCAAGCAGCATGCGCAAACCAGAGCCGGGCAAAGGCTCAAACGCAAGCGAACGCGAAAACGGCCCGGAGCCTTGAGAACAAAAATTCTAGAAACAGGCATTGCCCGAAAAGACCTGCTGCGCAAATCTTTTTTCGTTTCAGTGATGAGCAGGCTTACCACATTCGGGGACAACAGGCGTTTCGGCATCCGCCGTCGACAGGTCACCTCGCCAGACTCAGGTCTGCGGAGATTCGTGGTCCAGACTTGGGGATCTCTAGGAGGCGAAGGACTTAGGGAATTTAGGGTTTAGGGTTTAGGGTTTTAGGTTGCAACGAAACAGGAACTCAAGGAACTCAGGGTATATCTTGCAAGAGACATCCCGGAGGTCCAACACCAGAGGAGCATTGAGCAAAGCCAGTGATTCCTGCTTTGAACCCTACAGCCGAAGCCTGAACCTGGATCGGTATGCAGACATCAGACAGGTGAGTACAGAGAGGGATCTACATCAGGGTAGACACTGGCAAATAACGAAACAGCGAATCCACTAGCATACATGAGTAGATACACAGAACCGCGGATGCTTGTGAACGGGACAGATATGAGAACACATAAACACATAGGTACACAGATGGGTAGGGCAGGTCCATCAGCAGATTCAACGCCTGGGAAACCAACGAACACAAAGAGAGACATAGAGAGAGAAGGAGTGCGTGCAAGCGGCTGCTCACCTGTTTAGCTCCGCCAGTAGTACACGAGGAAGCAACTATTATTACTACTCTTATGACCTATTATCATTGCTTTTTTTTCACCCGCCCCGCCTATTGACGGCCGCGGCCTAGCGGCAAAGGCGAGGAGCAGGGAGACGACCCCTGGCGCCACGGTCTAGGGTTTAGGGTCAATTAAGATCTAGGGTCTGGGGTTCTTGTTTTGTTTAACCCTCTTTTCCATCTGCCCAAAAGGTTAGTTGAAATGCCACATGTGGCGGAGGGGCGGTTCGGGTCTCGGGTTCAGGGTTTAGGGTTTGGTTTGGAAGCCTGGCGTGTCGTTTCGTGCAGCGTGAAACCCTTGACTGCAACGCGCCGGGTCAAGGATTTCCAATTACCCACTCTCTGCCGGGCAAGCCATCTCAAAGATCTCATGCAAACATCCTGGTGCACAGATTTGGACGGTTTGGACTTCATTGCTTCAGGAAGCCGGAGTTCTGAAGTATCTGCCCATGTATCCATCCGTGCATGCGTTCATCCGCATCTGCGCATACAAATATGCCCGCATGTGCACGAACCACGTAATAAACCATATGCCATATGCACATGCATGCATGCATGCATGCACGCGAACACACACATGCATACATGCATACATGCATGTTTTCCCTAGCAACATACCTCAAACCCCTTAATGCATGAATGAAAGAAGTTGGCCCATCACATATTGAATGTGATGTAAAGTGATGTGATGCAATGCAGTGTAGTGTCGTGTGGCGATGTGTGAGGTTGTGCAGTGCAACGTGGCGCAATGTAGTGTAATGTGACGCAATAGAAGGTGCTGACGGTCTAATGCAATGTAGTGCGGTGTAAATCGACGCAGTGTAATGCGATGCATTGCAGATGTAATGCTATGTAAAGGAACGTGATGCAACTTTATGTAATGCAATGCAATGCAGTGCAATGTAATGCACTGTCATGCAATGTAATGTAATGCAACTTAATGCAATATCATGCAATGTCATGCAATGTAACGCAATGTAATGCAATGTAATGTCGCCTAACCCAACCTGATGTAACATTATCAACGGACCGGACCTAGCCCAACGCAGTGAAACTCAACGCGGCGCCATGCAAAGCAATGCAATCCCAGCCCATGCCACGTCGCGTAATTTCATTGTCGCAATGACACGTAGCGTCGTGCAAGGCAAGGCAGAGTGATGTAGCGAAAGGCAATGAAGCGTAAGGTAATGCATGCGTGGATGTGCATGTGTGAGTGTATACGCTCATTTATGTATGCTGGAAGCATGTATGCATATATGATATATATATATATATATATATATATATGTATATATAAATATGTATATATATATGTATATATATATATATATATGCATGCATGCATGTGTGCACGCATGCATGTATGGATGTATGGATGTACGGATGTAAGGATGTGTGGATGGATGGATGTATGGATGTATGTACGCATCTACAGCGTTATGAATTGGTGCATCGCGCTCCGCGTGAATATGGCTGCATATAGTAGAACATTGTCAAATTTTCCTCGTGCAACATCCTCGCTGTTGATGTCCCAGGCCTTCGCCAACTGCTACAATCGCCTCTGCCTTCAAAACTTCAGAGTCAACCTTGGCTGTTGTGCTCGGCATGCTTTGTTGTGCGTCATACTGGGTCAGGTGGACGGGCTGCAGCAGCGCACCAGCTTTTGTTCAACAGACGGACATGCAGCTTGTCCAAATCCTCCAATCGCAACCGAGCGGCAGTCACAACAAGTGGATGCAGAATATGGTGCATGCCGAATTTAATTGCGCCAACGGCCTCCGCATGTGCTTGCTCGGGACTGGCCTACAGGCTATAAGGTGGCGCCTACTGACTTCTAAAGTCCATCATTTTCCGGATTCGGGCAGTTTGCCTACCCTGCGGAAGCGGTCAGAGGCTCCCACAGGGATCCCCAGTCCCCCTACTCTGAATCTCCAGCCCCCCAATGTGTTGTTACCCTGTCCTACAGGAGAGCAGACCTGTGAGAGAGGCAGCTGACCCGACTATGGACGAAACCTCGTCTCCCAGGTTTGGTACTGCATACGATAGACAAGCACGCAAAGGCCCTGATAGACCGGTCCTGGTAAGAAGCCAGCATGATGTTCAAAGTGGTGACGTAGTTATAACGCAGGCAAACGCCATCACAGTTCAACATCGGCTCCCCGGCTCCGATGAAACTGTAGAGAGCAATGTCGAGTCAAAGCCACCCTCTGTCAAGAACTTTGCTCTGTCGTCGGGCCTCCGTTGACCACCTTCTCTGGAAGCCCTTCGTACTCATTAGCCTCGGCGTGAGGAGAGCTTGGGAGAACCAGACAATGGTTTCAGGGCATCTGGTCACCTGCAACTCCCGAACCGCTGCACATTCTGGGCCTTTCGGCTTGGGGTGGTGTTCGGGCCCCAGACCCTTTGAGACGCACTGGGGACGCCGGATTTCAGGCCCACCGCATGGCACCGCCGGATTTCCGGTGCAGCCAGGAAGCGATTGTGGGACAAAGGAAGGAGTTCTCAGAGAAATGCCCATCATTGGAGGCTTTGAGGTGCTCCTCGCACAGCTGACGAGCGGTTTGTATGGTCTGATAGCAGAGCTTTCCACTCCGGCCTGTGATGCCACTTAATGAAAGAGCCCCCATCATAACATAGGGAGCAACTGTTCACAGGTGTTGAGATGTGGAAGAAGGCTGCAAGATGGCGGGCCCTTCGGAGCTCCGAACCCCGAGTCCTGCCCAACCCTAAAATGCACATACGACAAAGCTTACAGAGCTTGGTCCTTAAGCGCCGCGAAGCGCATGCCGGTTGGGAACCTCATGCCGATTGAAGACTCCGAAACGCTGCTGCCAAAAAGAGTGCTGCAACGTCCCGTCTTGGCTATCATCAACTCCCACCACACTATAGTCGACTGCCTTTTTGCGGAGCGGCTGCGTAAATCCGGCTTTGGCCGATGGCTTAGTGTTGCGTAGAAGTGTAGAGTCGAGCTGGGTCAAACTTGTTAAGCTTTCGTGTGTAGCTCGGGCATGGGTTCCTGCCTCTCCTTGCAAGTCCCAGAGTTTGCGGAACCCAACTCCTTGCAACATACGATCTCGAAACATCCAAGCCCCGCGGGCACCAATAGCAAGAAGCCAAGCAACAATAACATCAGCTCATTGAGCAAGCCCGACACATCCTGCTTCTGAAGCGGGTCAACCCCCACCGAGTCCTCTTCGGATGGTTTGGGCTTGAAATTGTGGGATCTCTTCCAGGCGGAGCTTCAGGTGAGTTCACAGAATCGGCCTGCTTGATCTCTATCTCTCCAAACGGCTTCAACCACAACAGCGTCGACAAGAAACGGGCTAGCGGCTAGAGATTGAAGGGGAACCACAGCCGAACGGCGAGCAATCGAGAACCCCAGAACCAAACCTCGAAGCCTGGTACCCAAAGCTTAAGGTCTTCAAAAAAAGGAAGACGTGCGAGCAGGGTGTCCTGTCCATCAGCAGTTTTTTCCTGCCTGGGCGTGCGGAGCCGCGATTTTGTGCAGCCGAGTGAGATGCGGGACAGCGAGGCAGGGAGGGGAGTAGTGGTTCACATGAAGCCAAGCTGCCCATCGTTTGAAGTCTCTGAGCTTGCCTGCAACATGGAACATCGCATGCGAGAGCCCAGCGTGAAAGGGCAAATGGCAAATTGGCCGTCGAATTTGGATCGTTGCTGGTTTCCCTGGAATCGACATCTTGACTCCCATCGTACGCTGAAGCCCTTCCTCGCTACATCTGTCTGCAGCAGACCCGCGCATCCCCGTAGAGTTGAGAAACACGCACCGGCCCGGAGTCCCCGTCTATGCAGCTAGCTATACACTACAGATCCTTGACTCCGAAACACTTTCAACACCGACAATAAAAACACAACCCTGTAGCACCAAGCTGTGAACCACATAACCGAAAATCGTGAATTTCTTAGTTAGTCCCGAACCCGCAAACCCTTGTGCCCCTGAGCAACGCTGGCCTGATGCTTCCACGACTGCTGCTCCCTTTGAGCCTCATGAGATTTCATTAGCTGAGGTTCAGATGGCAGTCCAGCCAGCACTTCTTGTTTCCAAGCCGCTTCGTTCAGACTCTCTGGGGTTTGGGGGCTCATCGCTTTTTCCGGAACCCATGAAGCCGGGGAAGAGCTCGCGGGCTTTCTGCAAGTGTTTAGGTCAGCCTTGGCTTGTGCTTCCGAAGTCCTCAAGCCCTAGGCCCTAGGCATCATGTCACTCAGAAAACGCTCTTCCATGCGCTCAGAGCACTTCGTGCTTCGGTGCACTTGTTGCAGGCTTCCGGGTACTCCATCCCAACATGTCATGCATATGCGAACAAATCACGCGTTTCTTTATCGGCTGCCTGGGGCCGTGACAGTCTGAAAGCCTCCAGCTGCTTGCGCGGGGTAAGCTCCGGGGGCGAGTGGCCCAATAGGCGCAGGCCTTGTTTACAGAGTTTGGTGTTCACGCAGCCTATCCTTAAACTAGGGACATCCTGATCGAAGTTTCCGTACAATACGGATCCGACGCTATCCTCTATTGAGGCTTGCTTTGGGGTTCCGGATTCTCGGGGAAAAACCCGTTTCGGGCCAGAAGTTAGGCGGGAACGATGCAGTGCCTCTCCCTCCCTTTTTGTTTTACGAAGCTGAACCGGCCACCCAGACTTACTGACTTCTGCGGCCCAGCCTCAACTTCGAACACCCCCCTCCTCCTCCATCCGACATGCAATGAAGGGCCTTCTAGCAAAAACAGGACGAGGCACTTCCTGGAACTGTTGGATCCGAAGTTGGAGGGTCGTAAGCCATCGCTGCCTTAGCTCGAACTTCGGCGGCTTCAGGCCTACCGGCACAGAGAGTTCATGGTCTAACGTTAATGGTCTACGATTGGGCGGAAAGGGACGGAGGTGTCGTTTCCGGCACAACGCAAACATGCCACCAATCCTGGGACAAGCTGCTAGACCGGAGCCACTTCCTTCGCAAAGCTTCCTGCAAGTTGCGGATCGATGGCTGATGGTCGGCCACAGATTCGATGTGCATTGTCAACTCTCAACTTCGATGCTACGTGGGAACATAAAACCGTGGCTTCAAAATCCATTGGGGGGGGCCAGAAGCACAACTTTGCGCCGGCTCTGCTGCACCCGGGAGACACAAGCCCTATGAGAAACGGAGCATAAACAAAGAGCGGCACCTACCTTGACCACGTTTTCCAAGTCTGGCATCGCGGTATGGACAAATGGCGAGTAGTTGCGCTGCAGCTCCAAGGCGGCTTTCGTTATCTGTGCAGGCAATCAAGAAGTCCAAGTTTCGGCATGCAATGTCTTCCAGCTTCATAAGTCTGCACAAGAAACTTTGAGAACCACATCTCCTTGACACATCTCCTTGAAATGACCGGAGACCGCCAAACGGCAAAAAAGTCTGCGAGAGCCTGCTTGGGCAGGAGCATGGACTCGTCCCAAAGAAGGCCGTGGAAGGCCTGCAAAACAAACCACCTACGAAGGCCCTAAAACCCTCTGAATTCTGCAAGTTAGAAACTTGGCATGAGTAGTCACAGTCGCCGTTTCGACGCTTCCAGCGTGGGAGAATCCGAGCAGGGCCTTCAGGAGCTCGGAATCGGCGGACGCCAGCTGTTGTGGCGCCTGCCAGAGGTCAGAGGTGCAAGGAGCCGGGGGCTTCAGCCGGGGCTCCTCACCGGCCCGGGCTCGGGCGCCTTTGGAGTTCGGATACTTTAGCATGTGCCTTGTTACGGCGCTTCTGAGGCCGTGAACGTGCTGTTGAGACCATAAAAGTCTTGCCATGCAAAAAGCCTCGGTGATGCCACAGCGGCTGGATTTGTGGACCTTTTTCTGTGTTTCTGCGGCAGCTGCCGACCCTTCTGCATTTGTTGGTTCGTTGTTTTCCAGATCGCTTCATCTGCACATGTCCGGTCGGACACACGGTTTCAAAACCACCGAGTGGAAAAACATCTGCGGTCTCGAACAATCGAACGAAAATGCAAAATGAAGTGCCAAGTCGTGTGTCCGGGTGTGCTGAAGCCCTGCCGATGTGTTCACGCCTAGCTTGCATGTCTGGGTAGTAAAATGATCGCTTGCAACCTGGCTTCAAAAAGACACAGTGGATCAATGAGAAAGGGGGGCTTTATCCAGCACACGTCATACGCCTACGAACCTACCTACCTACGTACCCACGCATGTACATAGATACATACATAGATAGACACACACACATACGGAGAATGCACAGTCTGCGTTCAGACATGCTTACATCTAGGTGTATGTACAAATAAATAAATAATCCTTTACATAAACATGAAATATCTATACATATACATACATATACATATACATAGATATATATATATATAGATATATATATATATATATACCTAATACATACATTGCGTAAGGCTGCCACGTCCCATGGTGTCCCACCCGTGCCTGTCAAGTGGGTGCTCTTCTTAGTTGGTCTTGTCGCCTCCCCCGCCCTCCCCCTGTGAGGTGGGGCCTGAGTGGTCTTCCGTAGCCTGCGGTGCAGTTGTTGATCTCTGGTCTCCCCATCCTCCAATGTTGCTGCTGAGCAGCTAGCAGACTAGGGTAGGGGGGCAATGTGTTCTACAGAGACATGGTTGCATTTGTTAGGGGTAATGTCATCATTATGGTGCTCACTACCGTAATGGACGATTTGATGTTGCTCTTTGCAAATGGCGCTCCTCTCCCTGCTTGTGATGTGGTTCTCCCCCGGCGGATCATTGCGGTGACAGGCCTCCGTCGTCCTCCCTGTCTGCGGTTTGCGTTGCTCGCGATGTCGATTCCATCTTCCAAAAACGACGACTCTCACCAGGCTGAGCAGGCGGGGCAGGGGGAGGCAGTGGATACCATTGGGGGAAGGGGGGGAGACAGCGGCCCGGCACCTGAGAGGATTTGTGCATGTACATATTTACATATATACATAGGTACCTATATACATATACATATCTATATTTATATACATAAACACGTGTATGTATATATATATATATATACGTGTGTATACATAGAGAGAGAGAGAGAGCGAGATGTGTATGTACAGTGTATGTAGATAGATAGGTAGATGGATGGATGGATACATAGATAGACAGGTATGAATGTATGTATGTATGTATGTATAGACAGATAGATAGATAGCTAGATAGATGGATGGATACATGGATAGATAGATATGCATGTGTATGTATAGACAGATAGATAAGTAGATAGATAAATAGATAGATCGATCGATAGACGTATACACATATATATATATACACATCCAGGACAGGTCTGTTTAATTGAATTTCTCATTTTTTCACCGCACACACACACACGGACCCGCATCAATAACAGAACGAATGAAGACAACCATCACCGACGTGCAATTAGGGATGGTAGGCCCAGCTTGAATACTACGTTGCACTTGGCAGCGCTTCAGCGCTGACAGAACATAGGAACCGCAATAATTGCAAAGACCTCCCTTCGATTTCCCTTAGCAGCTGTAGCATTTTCAATGCAGACTCAACGAGGCCTGCTTGTCCGCGGCATGGCTTTCGGGGTAAACTGTGTTGGCAGAATCAGGCTCTTCCTGCGGATGCCGCTCAAAGTTCAATCCGAAGAATCGGCACTTGCTGTCGAAATTGTTGATAGTGTGTTGGTTAAGCGTGCATCGTGTGAGACTTAACGTTGGTGCCTGTGCTAGTGCCACGGCTGTGGTTCTTGGCAAGATGTAGTAGCTTGCAGTACCACAGCATGTCTTTTCCTGTGCCTCTCAGTCTCCATGTGTCCATCTATCTGTCTGTCCTATTGGACCGATCTGCCTAAGGAGCGGTAGGAGTACTGTGTTTCAGCAATCACACCAAGCTCCATCACCCCTCCAAAGCTCCACCGTTGAACCCAACCTGCTCCCACTCCCAAGATCCGGCGACGGCTCTAGTAGCCATTGCCTTGGAACCCGGTCCTGAACTAGATCATCGTCTTGGAAGCCCTGGAACCACATCGGAGGCTTGGTAAGTAGAACAACCGGCTGCCCACCCATCGGGGCTTGCCGAATGGAGTAGATCTTGGGCACCTGAGAACTCCCCCCGACATCCTTTCGTTTCTCGCACTGTATCTCCAAAGCCTTTCCCGTTTCATCGTCATGTCATTGGCTTGCACAGAACTGCGGGCCATGATCACCAGCCATTCAAGCTGGCCTGGGTAGCAGTATCCCAGTTTTAGACTAGCAACCACCAGACATTGACACTTCAATGATACATCATGGCACCACAATTTTGAAAAGACATACCGACACGAATAGAAGCTGTCCCAACCTGCCAAAACGGATGCCACGGCACATCCCTTGCACAAACGAGGAGAAGCGATTGGATGATCTCCTGGCAGCATACTGTGCTCTGCTTGCCTATCTGTGCAAGAAGCTCCTACTATAACATCCGCACGGATAGTAGAGCAAGTGGTGGAGGCAATAGTAGCGTTGGTGTTGTCGTGGTGGCAGGGGTGGCTGGCATGGTTAGCAGTGGTGTCGGGCGAAGGCGGTGGCGGCGGGCGGCGGTGGTTGCGGTGGTGGTGGGGATGGTGGCGATGGTGGCGGTGGTTAAGGCGGTTGCAGCGGCCGCGGCCGGTGGCGGTGGTGGTGGTGGTGGTGGTGGTGGTGGTAGTGACACTACTGGCAGTGACGATCAGCAGCCGCAGTGGCAGCACCACCACGGGCACAGCAGCAGCAGCAGCAGCGGCGGTGCGAGTGAACGTAATGCTGTGAATATTAAGGATGACAATATTCTTGCAAATCGAACCTGACAACAGGTATGGTCAAGTATGGCATCAATAGTCGAAACCCCAGCCAAGAACATCCCAAACCATGAAGAGATCTTCAAGCAATCTTCCACTGCTGAGCAAACGCAAAATGCCGCAAGACACTGGCTCTCCCTGATAATCGCAGCCTCAACAAAGCAAAACAAAATCTCCAGTGCACATCCATGCGAAATACCACATCCGGTGCCCTAACACGATAACTTCAAAACGAGGCACACTTCTGCAAAGAGCCCGACCCAACCTCGGTAAAAGCGCCGGTCTCCCGCAGCATGCTCTGCAACAACTTGACGGTCGGTCGAAGGCGCTTCTGCCGGGGTAAAAGTAGTATTGTACTGGCACAACGGCTGTGTCAGGCAAGGGTAAATTTGTGACCGGCCTTGACTTGCTTGAGCTGGACTTTGGGGCACTTGACCATTCAAAAATTGGTCGAGGTGCGTGCTTTGAGTGAAGAATGGTGATCTTTTGGCATGAGTTTTGGGCTCTGCTACTTTGGGCCAATTACGTACTTGTCGTCGCAGGACCTGGATCACAGTTTTTCGACCTCAAAAATTTGGCGACTGCATGCAAGCTGGTCATCGTTAATCCTACCGTTCGCCTCGATCTTGTGTAGTGTATGCTGACACCACCCTTTTGCTAGTTCATTGTTACCACCGATAGCAATGCTACGTGAGTCTCCAGACGATAAGCTTGTTCAGTCTCATGGTTCCGACAGGCGAAATTCGAAGGGTCGCCGTGCCCATGGACAGTACGCCGAAGATTGCCAGGCCACAGCAGAACAGTCATCAACATCAGGCCTTGTAATTCCTGACTTAGGGGAGGCGACGGCAACCTAGTCCTAAAAGCCAGAGCCTTGTACAGAATCAGGATATGCTTGGCAATGGAGCCGGTGAAGATCTTGGAAGTCAAGGGCGGAAGACGAGAACAGTGCAGACTGAGGGAGTGCATGAACAATCCTTTCAGATGATCTGAGGATCTGAACAGAAGCCAGACCTCCTTACAAGCGAAGCACAGAGCCCCCAGCCTCCGGGCCCCGAATGCGCCAAGCAAGCCCCAAATCCCAACTTGCAAAGAAACCGAAACCCTAAAACAAAACGCCATGACGAAATCCTGATGACCCCTCTACCCAAACACCCCAACTAGCACAGACATAGTCTCATCAGCAACGTGGCTACAAATCATTAAGCTGATAACTATCCCCAGTGCTGGTGATGATGATGGTGGTGGTGGTGATGGTGACGGTGATAATCATGATGATGATGATGATGACGATGATGATGATGATTTTGATGGTGATACTGATGGTGACGGTGATGACAATGATGGTGATGTGACAGTGAAGATACTGGTGATGTGATGGACATGCTGATCGCGATGGTGATGAGGATCGTAGCTACGATGATGATGATGATGGTGATGACGATGATGATGATCACCATGGTCTTGATGATGACGACGATGATGACGACAGTAATGACTTTGATGATGATGATGATGATGACGATGCCTCGTCGTGATGATAGACAATGATTACGATAGTCAACCTGGCAACCCGATTATGATGCTGACACTACTGATGACGACGATGACGATCACGATGCCACGTCGTGATGTTAAACAGTGATTACGATAGTCAACCTGGCAACGATAACTCCAATTATGAAGCTGACACTACTGGGAAACACAACAACAAGTCTAACTTAATGATTGTAAAAATAGCAACAAGAGTAAGTAGCATCAGCAAGAATGACGATATGAACAACAATAAGACTGTCAATGATAATAGCAAAAACAATTGTGGCAGCTACGATGTCGATCACAACTCTGCTACAAGTTTTCAAGAACCAATCATCATCGACACATCCGAGGCTGAGCTCGTTGCAGAGAATGCCCTCGGGTCATTCGCTAAGTCTGCCGGAAGAGGCTGCTGGCGCAGGATGGCGAAGAAGTCGTTCAGGCCCTGGCCGAGGGCTTCTGAGGCTGTGAGACTCCAGGTGATCTCTGGCATCTGCCGTTGTGGGGCTTGGAGCGCAGGCCAGGCTCAAGTGTCTCAAGGTCCGGACAAATCCTACAGCCGCACAACTCCAGAGGCCCCAGCCGACCAAAAAAGCAGTAAACCAAACGACCGAAACCAACTATGATATGGTGAGGCAGAGCACACGCAAGCTTCACCAGACAACACGTCCTGTAGCATCCGTCATGCAACCGCGAAACCCACGAAAGCCACAAACCGGAAACCGTAAATCAGTTTAAGCCGTTGACCAACCCCAAATTTGAAACCCCTGGGCCCTAAGCCCTCAAACCTTCCTCCCAAAAGCTCCAAAACCCTCATCCACGGCCTCGGGGCTGGTGATCGACGGCGTCGCCTCCTTAGGAAGGATGTCGTCCAGGCCTTGTGTTCCAGACTGGCGGTACGGCGTTTCAGCGTCTTTGGCTTCCAGGCTCCACGCTTTTCGGCTCCACGTTTCGGATGTTTGTTTCAGCATCGAAGTCGCGAATCTGCCTACTGTTGATACATGGATGCATCCATACCCTCACGAGCCGCACCATCATGAAATTGGTATACATGCAGACGTGCACATACGCACAGAATTACAGACGCGCACTCAACCATTGGTACAATAACACACGAACTGCTTGCATGAGTGCATACGGCTAAACGCGTCTCCAGACTAGATGGTTCATGTTGCTTGGACAGCCAGGTGTCTTTTGAGACGGCCTTTTCGGGGGGTGTCGGGGTGGCTAACACTCTGAAAATCTCTGAAAGGAATCCATGGCTTTTTTCACCAAGTGGAAAGTCTGAGATACACTTCTACTCTAAGCCTCGGCTCGACTAGACCCTGGCACCTAGGCCTTTGCTTCAGAACCCAGCGGCGCAACTCGGTCCGCTCGGTCGTTTGACCCGACGAACTCGTTGTCTCCGGAGTGGCCTGGGAGAAACCCCAGCATAGCATGGATTTTCCAGGAGCTCATAAGACGTGCGCTTTTGTTGAGTTCCTGGCAGGCTCGGCCACCTGGGTTGACGTTGCGCTCGTGGTCGTCGTAGTGGTAGTCGTCGCAGTCGTCGCAGTCGCGTCCGGCATCATCCGTGAGGTCTGGATCTCGGCATTTGCTGGCTGAAGCTGAGGCAAGGAGGAGCCACAAGCCCTCAGGACTCGCGCAAGGGGCTAGCGGCTGATTAGAGGTTTTTTTCGAACTTGGCTGCAGGTTTAGGGCTTGCGGTTCGGGTTTTTGCGAAAAGGGTACAATGGGCTTTGACTCTCTCCGCAGCATCCTACCAAGGCTTGGGGATTGCGTATACTGTTGATGATATAAACCCTGCATTACCTTAAGAACCCTAAACTATGGGAATTACAGTATATTCCTTATTATGGGTAATGCAGGATTAATATCATCAACCGTAGTTTGCAAAAAAGATGGACGTTGTAGCCTGGGGTTTAGCGTCGTGCGTTCTTGGAGGATTGTTGCACCTTAAAACAGACAGTGGTGAACACGAGTTCGTGGTCAAGTTGGGGGACGAAGACTGCAAAACCACTCTGTGGACTAACCTTCTACGGCTGAAGATGTAAATCCTGCATTTCCTGATAAGGAATGTACCACACTTCCCATAGTGCCATAGTTTAGGGTCCTTAGGCAATGCAAGATTTGTGTCGTCAACCGTAGTAATGACATTTTACTTTGCACTGGGTCTCTTGTGAACTGCAGCGGATCTCTTGCGAGCTGGAGACATCGCCTGGGCTTTGGCCGTGGCTTTGGCCTTTGCTTTAGCCCTTGCGTTCGCCTTTGCCTTGGCCTTCGCCTTGAGCTTTGCCCTCTTGGCGCAAGCGCCGTCTCCTTCGCCTTCGCTGCACGCGTTCCGGCAGCTTCAGCCAAACCTTGGCGCTTTTTTTCAGGTCGGCCCAGCTGCTCTTTTACTCGCTTACTGCCACCGCCGAAAGCTCGGCATCCCCGAGTTACGACTGATCTATCAGAGGAAGCCTCTTCCTCCTCCTCGTCCTCCTCGACCTCCTCCTCCTCCTCCTCCTCCTCCTCCGCCTCCTCCTCCTCGCCCTCCTTCCTGCTGTGACGATCGAGTCATGGCCAGTAATGGCAGTAAACCCCGAATGACTCGCTTTGACCTGCTGCACATTCTTCAGCTGATCCTGCACATCAATGCTGTCGCCACCATGGGAATAATCACCCCAGGTCACGACGGAGCCATCACCAATAATGGCAGCAAAAGCTTGGATCTGCTGGACTTTCTTCAGCTGATTCTGCACTGCACAACTGTCACCACCTTCGGCAGGATCACCCCAAGTCACGACCGATCCGTCGCCCAGAATGGCAGCAAGAGCGCTCTCAGTAGCTTGGATCTGCTGGACATTCTTCAGCTGATCCTGCACATCACTGCTGTCGCCACCATGGGAATAATCACCCCAGGTCACGACGGAGCCATCACCAATAATGGCAGCAAAAGCGAAGGCAGTGGCTTGGATCTGCTGGACATTCTTCAGCTGATTCTGCACTGCACAACTGTCACCACCTTCGGCAGGATAACCCCAAGTCACGACCTATCCGTCGCCCAGAATGGCAGCAAAAGCGCCGGCAGCGGCTTGGATCTGCTGGACATTCTTCAGCTGATACCACGACCACCATCACCCCATGCGACGACCGACCCACCCCGCACAATGGCAGCAAACGCATCGTGCGTGGCTTGGATATGCTGAACGTTCTTAAGCTGCTCCGTCACACCGCTATCGCTACTGTCACCACCACTTTCAGGATTGCCCCACGTAACGACGGATCAGTCGCCAAGGATTGCAGCAAAAGCTCCCTCACTGCCTTGGATATGCTGCACATTCAGCAGCTGATCCTCCAAATAAGACGTTCCATGTCCCTCAACATGTTCCATCTCCAAGAACTGCAGCGAAAGCGCTTCCGGCGGATTGAACTTGAACTCTGCCTACCTGCAAGACCAGTGATTGATCTGTGAACGTAGATCCAGAGGACCTCCGGATGGGTCCAGTAGCCGCCCTTTCCCCACTTCGAGCTCCGCCTCTGCCCGACGTTGAAGGCTCGCCACTTGTTCATCCAAGTGGGCTGTCACAGTGGCTGTCTTGCCACTGAGCAATCCCACTCGCACGTTAATCGACATATTGCACGGCGGAAACTACACAATGGTTAAATACCGGCTTCCGCTTGTGGGGCATCTTACTTTTCAGGTGCAAAACACTGAACCTCAAACCCATAAGGCGGCAGTTGATCACGCACCAAAAGGCAAATAATCATTGCACGATCCTGTTCCCGTTCTGCCCCGGATCTGGATGCATCATCCGAAACGCCTGCCTGAGAACACCTAATTACTAACCACCCACCTTCCCGGTCGGGCGACAATGAATCGAGCATGGGCGACCGGAGCACTCTCACCACATGCTGGTGCATTCTGAAACAACGTATCTAAGTGCAGCAAGAAGGCCTTTTGCGAGGCTTCTGGGGTGCCTTGCCAAGAGCAGGCATGAAACAAAGCGATGCAACTCACAAGCCCGACACGCGTCGTAAATCGCCTCGTTGCCCTCAGACCCCAAGGGACTTGGTCCCATGAAAAGCTCGGAAGCTGTCAACTGCAGATCGAAAATATCTACCTCTCCGGTAGAAGGAAAGATGTAGCTACTTTGCACCTATCACTAAACCTCCAGGAAGCATGTTGACCTCAGAAAGCCTCCCAAGCCTCTAGCGAGCTGAAGCCGTGAGGAAAAGACCTGGAAACCGAAGCAACAAAAAAAGAAAAAAGCGGGGTCCCCAAGTCCTGGGCCCCTATAGGCTTCAGTCCAGCTGCTCACACCCAGGCCCGGCACAAAGGGTGGGGCATCAAGCGCGGAGGCGCCAAAGGTGGAAGATGCCTGGGTGCTCCAAATTTGCTTGGGACGCTAGGCTCCGAAGCATTCGCCCTGTGAAAGCCAACCCCTTTCGCGCCAAGACCTCAAACTCTCCAGCATCCTCCTCATTTCTCATCCATGAGGCATGAACCTGAATGATTCGCTTTTGATTGCTCCTTCCAACCCCATACTTTGTGAAGCCTTGCTAGTGAGAACTGCGAGAGTGGTTCTCGTTCTGGCATGCAAGATCCCACCTCAAGGGCCCCCCCAAATCCCTCAAGCCAACACCCTGCCCACCGGACCCTCGGCAACCGGCGAAGCCGAAGCCAATATGTCCCGCCCTGAAGACCACTCTGCAACCCGTAATCTTCTGAGCTGTCTCCGAACCCTCGCGCTTGGCCTGACATCCCAATTACACATCCACCCTGGCCTCGCCGACCACGCCGCTGGGCACTGGTTCTGGCGAAGGCTCTTCGTCGCTGTCCTGTTGAGCCCCGGCCCACTTTGGGCCTTGTTGGTGAGCTTTGCTTCTAAGGGTGCCCTTCCCGAAGGGTTCGGGGTTAAAGTCTTCAGCCGCATCTCAAAACCAGCCGGGAGATCCGCTTCGTCGAAATCCGCGCCGGCCAGGAACAGCGCCACCGCAGACCTTGCAAGGCACGAGAAGGAGGCGTCACATGGTAAACGGCCGTTGACAATGGTTGACACATGCCCACATCACACCCTCCTTCTGGAGTTTTGGTGGTAAACAAACCGCTTTAGACAATTAGTGAACAGACGGACCGACGGAAAGATAGGCAGCCAGACTACACCGGCAGGCAGGCAGACAGGCAGATAGACAGCCATATAGACACACGGACAGCCAGGCAGGCAGGCAGGCAGGCGGGCACGCAGACAGATAGACATGCATATGCAGATGATACAGGCATATGTGCATGAGTGCGTCTGTAGGCATATGCTGGCGTACACATTCACACAAACACTAGTGTACTTTCCATCAATGCATTTAGTCATTATCCAACACGAATCTTATGCTGTACCCGGACACTCCAATACCCTGATTGACGGAGTATACCTGAAATCATATTAGGGATGGTACTATAAAATTAAGGTATACTCCTCAATAAAGGGATCTTGGAGTCTCAGGGTACACTCGCGAAGCAGCTGGCCAGGCACAAGGCACAAGACCGTGGCCCGGGCGACATCTGCTCCGCGAGGCCCTTGTCGGGGTCCTCGATAGAATAGGGGCCTAAAGAATTACCAATACTATTTTGGTGGTTCCTTGTTATCATTATGCAGCAGTATAGTGGTCCCCAAAACCCTCTTCTAATTATTAAGGCCCCTATGTTACAGCACTTAGGGCTTCGAGTCTGGCCGCACAGGTCATGTCAGCAGTGTACTCTGCATTGAAGACTGGACCTGCAGTCGAGTCTTCTAGACGAATCCCCTGGAAGCACAAACCATCAAGAACACCGCTGCATCTCCAGGCCCATACCCGACCCAATACCTTAAAGAAAATGATATCATGCAACGGGCTTCTCGATACATCCTCAACTCTGCCGAAAGAAACCGACACCGTCCACGTCGGCTGCGGGGGCGCTGAGACCCGGAGGTGCTCCGAGGATCTTTGCGGCCACCTCCGCTGGGCACTGAAGATCTTTGGGATCATGGTCATGAGAATTCTTTCAGCTTCGGGAGGTCGGGATCTATTTTCGGAGTCTTTGAATTGCAGGATGCAGACAGATCTCGAGGAGGTGGTCTCGTTCATCACCCTGTGGCTATTCACAAAATTGGCCTCAACCCAGCGGGCAGAAACACCTATCCGCTCCTCGCGTGTGCTGGCATGAACATCTGGAAGAAAGGCAAAGGCCTGGGGGAGGGAACTTCTCATCGGCGTCGCAGAGTTCTCGGCCAAGCCTGGCACAGGCAGCTTCCTCCCCTTCCCATGCAAGAAGAATCTCTCGCGGGGTAGTTGCAGGAACCCAGCTCGGGCTCGCCACCTTGCCGGCCCTGATCCCAGGACCAGGACGGAGCTTGCGCCTGGAGGGAGGAATTCTTCTCTTTTCCCAGCATCGCGGACGATTCGGAGTGCGGATGTTTCCAACTGTCCAACGAAAAGAATGCAATCCTGCACAAACCAACGAGCTGCACTCCTTCCACCCTCTCCCTGTTTTTGCGCCGCCTGAACCTCCACTTGCGGAAGCGAAGTGGCAGCGTCCACATCGGACGTGCCTGAGAATGGGGATCACCCGCTCAAATTCGGGGCCAAGGCCAGGCTTTCCCCGAAGTTTCAAGGGGTCTTCTTTTGCGCGACTCCCTGGGCCCGGGCCCAGCATGGGGTTTCTATGGTAAAAATTTGTGCCCGCCTTGCCAATTCCATGGCTGCGCCCCCCCCGCGGACCAGTCGCCTGCTCGGGAGCTTCCGGAGGAGGGACTTAGGGCGAGGTCTTCATGGCCGGATCTCCGTGCTGAACTTGCAAAAACGTAGTTTGGCGAATTTGCTGCTCGCAGAAACATCAAGTCTGCCACACGGAGCTCTAACCCGTCCATCGCAACCTACCGACTCCGACAGCCGTGGCCAAGACCGGGAAACCCAAAACTCCGAGAACTTGAGGAGCCGAAAAGAACCCCCAAATCCCAAGATATCGGATTTTCCCGGGAGCCTTCAGAAGCCATGGCAGTCATTGTCTGTGCTGCCTGGACAGCCTGGGCAGCCTGGACAGTTTCAGAAACAAGAGAGGTCGCACGTCAAACCACCAAAACCAGTTTCAAACATAATCATAAGCTGCTGCCTCCCTTCGCCTCATAGAAATTCGGATGTCAATGTCTGCCTCCAGACTACGGGGTGCCTCCATTGCTGGGCGGGCCGCCCCATTCATCTCAGACATGCCTCCAACGCTTCACAGTCTTATTGCAGGTTCCAACAAGATTATGGACAATGTGCATGCACGACCTCGGGCATCATGAGTAAGTAATTCATGTAAGAATGGTTAGAAGCAACTCATGAACATCGGCAATGCAAGAACATGGACGATGACCCGAACCACAATCGCCATATTTCGTCCGACCCCAAAGCATGCACCTGAGCCCTGCCAGGGCCAGACCCCGCCGGCCGCCCATTCGCCGTCGCCGGCTGGGGCGCTGCCGCTCTGTGCTGGTGCCTCGTCTCAAGAGTCTTGCTCCTGCTTCAGAGTGCCTTGTTCATGCTGTCATCGACGCATGTTGTGGCCGGCAGCAGAACGATGGCAGGGTTGATGTCTATGTAAACAATATGTACTTTCTATGCCCCAAGTCTTTTGCGCAAACACCTTCAAAAATTGTTGCTCTCTTTCGCGGACCCATCGCAAAGCGTTGCTTGGCATCTACGGAACTACTTCCAGCACAACCACCACATCTCACTGGCCAACCCCAAGTGATTCAAGTGCAAACATCCAAGGACTCTCGGGAGCTGGCTTCCGCCCCCCACCACTGCCACTGAGATCCATCGTTCAGATGCCGCTGCAGAAGAGCCAACTGCCAGCGGGATGGACTTCGGGATTTTTTTGGGGGGATTCAAGCCCTGCAGCGGATGTTGCAGCAAGAGAAAGTCATCTCACATCTCCCTTTCTTAGGACTTGGGGATTGGAAAGCGTGTCTGGGATTGAAGTTGGGCTGCAGGGTTGCATAGGGTTCTGAGTCAACAGATTCGAAGCCAAGACTTTCTGGTCTTGGCGTCCATAGACTTTGTTCCCACAGCAGTCCGAAAAAAGCTTGGAAAGACTGGGAGCGGAAACTCCTAGCTCAAAAATCGAAGGAGGCAGCCACCCTGAGAAAATCTGGAGAACTGGCAAGGACTGGCTTCAAGCCTCTGCTGGAGTCACACCATCAGGCGCGGAATCATTCCCAAACCAATTTGTATCGGTCGGCAACCTCAGTCAACTTGTAAATCGGCACTTGGATGTCAACCCTGGGTCCTTAGTCCCAGCCGATCAGAGGGCCAAGAAGCTGCTGCTCCTGCCGCGGCTGCCAGAAGTTGACAGCTCCAGCCATTTGCCTCCGCCAAGGGCGATTACGGCCGACGACCCGAATTCGCAAGGGACTCACACACAGCAGCTCGGTCGCAGGCTGTCTGTCTTGCATCCAAGCATTAGCCTTGCCACCGCGTTCAAAGGAACAGCAGTCAGCGAGTCACCCAGTGCTACAACATACAGAGGAATAAGGCCCAGAAGCCAGTCGAAGCTCCGAAAATCAAGCGAGTAAGGGCCCGGCACTTACACCGGGGGCCATCACTGTGTCTGCACCCCCCTCTCTCTCTATGCGCACAAACCAGAGATCGCGCTGACAGTTAGAAACGGCTGCGGCAGAAGAGGCAGCGACTCGCATGTGTCATCAGATGCTCAACCGGGTTGCAAGAGCCCCAGGCAACAAGCGGCGTTCATCACCTGATTTTTGGTCGCTGGCCGCTGTTTGTGTGAGCTTTCTTCAACGGTTTGTGGGCATTCCCTTCGGTATGCAAGTGCATGGCCGCCTGGTCATGTATCGAGAAAGCCATCCAAACGTTCGGACAGTCCTCCTCGTGGAGTTCACAAAAGCCCCACGGGCCTGGTGTTGGCAAGGAACGCTTCCTCTTGAAGCCTCAAGCTCGCCGGATCCCCCAACCTCTGCCAACACCAGGAGGCAAAGCGGGCTCCAAAATCAAGCAGCACTAGCTGGCGGCTATACTGGGTTAAAAAGCGACTTCGCAGGCACCTTCTAAAGCTTACTCAAACAGAAACAGGTGTCGCCAAAGGTGGATGGCAGTGATGTGCAGACTCTGGCACCTTCACATCAAAGCAACCACTGCCAACCGGGGAAACTACCTTGACAGCCCGAACTGGCACCACTCCAGTGATTTCGGAAGATGTTATCTGATATGAGATGTGCAGTCAAGGAACGCATCGCATTGAATCGGTGCTTCATGCACTGGACCAAAAGGGCAGGGCGCCAAGACACAGAAACTTTAGCAGTTTCCACGAATTACGGAACCAGAAGCATTCACACATGCTGGCCGGCAGAGCCGTGTGCCTGACTAAAGCGGCACATGACCATCCGCAAGCAATGTCCTGGTAAGCGGAACGAAACGTGGCTTCACACACAAGGCTAGTCGTTCCGCTTTCAGACATGCTGCGGGTCGTACTTCAAAAATCTGCTCAAGTGGCATTTCAAGCGCCCAGAAGATGTGATAAACAGATACTTCGAACCCGAGATCGCCAATCATTTTGGTCCAACAGCCTTCGCAAAGGAACGGCTGGCCTTATTGGACCACATCGCCATTTGAGCTCTCGTAGTTTCATGGTTGCACTGTACAATCAGGCGGCCGGGGCGTGGCTGTCTGCTCTCTTGGGCAAAAGAATCTCCTTAGCCCCTTTACGTCCGCATGATACACGAAATCCGATCTGGCTATTCAAAGCACAACTGCCACAGAAACAGCGGCAGGTCAGTTTTCCATCCAAGGCATATCAACGCAGTGATCCACGCCCCACCCTCACACTCCATGACCGCATCGCCCCAAACCTGAAGGCAGGCAAATGTATCTTCCACCAATGTAGCTGAGGTCAGATGATAGCAGAAGTCTGGGAACCTGCCTCATTTGGAGGTAAGCTCCGGTGCAATTTTCTGCGCATGATCTCATGCATGAAGCGTAGTCGAGGAGATGCAGACCTGTATCCCAGGCACAGGCATCTTGGGAATCGTATTCTCAAGGTGCCCCCTTGAGCTCCGGCCTCATAGTTTCGACATCGCCACCGTTGGATGACCTTGGTGCACACAGCTGTCGTTCCGTCTGAGGTTCGTTGCTAACCTGCTGCTCGGAACTGCACCATTAGCAGGCTTCGCGGGCTGGCTGTGCGCGGACATTCTCATCTGCGGCCTGCAAATTCAGCGAATCTGCCCCTGACCCTGAACCCCTTGTCCTGCTTTCCTGAAGGGACTGCACCGGGCCAATTGCTCGACTTTTGACACTCAGTTATGAAACTAGCAGGTTCTGCGCCCGCTTCACGTGGAACATCTTCAGTCACCGGAAGACCACAACACACACTTAAAGTCTGCCGTCCATGGTTCTGGTTTTGAATTCAATTGCCTTCATTCGGACCCTCCAGCCCTACAAACAACTTCGTCAGCTTGACCACATAGAAGCCCATAACCCTTTACGAACATGCACAGGCGTACAGCAAGCAATACACCAGCACATACACATACCTCCATAAGTACATACGCATTTTCCCATAATACTTGCCTCCATCCGCAACATGTATGAGAGAAAAACAGGCAGATGGATACCTTATTCGCTCCTCCGGAACCCTGCACCCTTGCAGAAAACCTCTCAGGCGCCTCAGGCAGCAAACGAAGTTGGGAGAAGGCACGTGGTACCTCCCAGGTTGGGCTCAAGAGGCTTTGAGGGGTTTCGGTGGCCTTCCAGGGCCGGAACTCAAACAACCTCGGCATACCCAGGCTTAAGTCTAAAAAATCTGCGGTTCTCTCAAGGCTGTTTATGTCTCGGATCTCAACCGCCCACGGCAGCAAAGTGTGCTAACAGTGTACTTACCAGTGGAATTGAACGGAACATGGCACGGGCTCAGCGAGTCCAGAAAGGTAACTAACATACATGAAACCAAACTGTGAGCAGATGTATAAACGAAAAGTATAGCAGCTTCGGGCCCATAATTGCGAAGAAGGGAAATGATGAGATGGTGTTACGCCTTCGTTTCGACTTCGCAAAGGACAACTGTACTACTCCACAATCTTGCAGAGAGTAGGTGGGGCTTAAAGTTGCATTTTTTACTCGTATCGTGTTGTTTGCACGTTAGTACACGTTGTTTACGCTTTGCTTACGTTTATGTCAGACTTGTTCTGGCAGTTTGCATACATCTTTCTCACCAGTAACGATCTGGCAGTCACCTGGCACTGACAGAACCAGGGTATCATGGACATAGGCTCGCGGGGTCGACGAGTTGGAACCAGTCTGGTCCCTGATCCCCAGAGTGCAGGGCTCTGGACTTTAGGCGCACTCGTTGCCGGTCCACTCCATGGTGCCAGTGGCAATGTTAAAGCCTAACAGAGCGCCCATCAAGCAGCAGGAACATGCTTCTGGTTCTTCAAGTTTGCAGCTTTCTCAGTTCTTTGCCTTCCTGGGCCTTGACATGCCTCATGATAACGTTATTATATAACCCGACAAGCCATGAGCACAGAGTTTAAATCACCCGCAGCAACACAGAGCATGCAAACGCGAACCCGAAACCCTAAGCAGGATGCGGGTGCCCAACTTCGACATGGACCTCTGTGGCGGCAATGCACAAAGCGAAACCCATTGACCGCCAGGCAACGGAAAACAGAAATCTTGTCAGAGTCCTGGTTTGCTGAGATCAGCCACTGGCCTGTGCAGAGCACAGTTTCTCAATGCTAGCATTGCCAACCTCCGTGCAATATGCTTTTATGGGGGCCGCGACTTAGGTCTCCAGCACTGCCAACGAGGCCACGTCTGGCGGTGACCGTGCAAGGGCACATGTGTACCTACTTCAGCTTGGAGCCTTTGGACTTTAAGCGTAGTTGTTGCTGGAGGACCGATACATCCGAGCTGAACACGGCGACAGTCCACCCGCCTGAACTGTCGAACTGGAAGTGTCGCGGGGTGGCACCGCGTGTGTGCTGCAAATGCCTAAGCAGCGGCTGGCGAGAAAGTCATTGTTGGTGGGCACATGGGCAACACGAAAAAGCTGCGTCCACTACCATTCATACATCATACCCTTTCTCGGTGGAAAGTGGGTGATTGCTACGGGAAAACAGTGTCACCAAGAATAGCCACGGCCGCATGATTTTAACAGACCCACAAAGGCGCTCGCAGAAACCCTTTGCAGCCTGAAGCCTTAACATCCTTAAACCCGAAAAAAGGAGCTTCTCAATCTTTCAAGAGCTCAGTTCACGACGCCAGGGAGAGCTGCCCATGGTGCCCGAGCTCATGAGCTACGCGGAAGACGGTGATGCTGTTGTGCCCTGGGAACAGGCTGCTTGATATGGGTCAATGGATGCAGCAGCGGTATTCTCGGAACTGCACTCGGCATCGGTAAGATGTGAAGGGATCAATTTAGATTCTGCCTGCAACTCGACAGACTTTTGGGCTCCCGGGGGTGAGAAGACCGGGGCTTGCACCTGCGGGCCCTAGGCAATGCAAGTACACGCGCAGCTGTACGTATTGCTTCTGCTTGCCATTTCGCTGTGCATAGCATCACTATGCTGCTGATGAGGAGGTGATCAACCTGACGTGCAAACCTGCGACCCTGCGCCGTCCTCTGTTGGAAACTAGCACGAAATGGCCAGAGTTGTGCACCTGGTCCGGGAGGCTGCTAGCTGCTAGTTTGCTTGAATCTAGATTGCTTGAATTGGGCAAACTATTCCTTTGTTTTACTGGGGTGACTGGTAATTCTGTGTCTGACAGCTGAGGGCTCTGCAGCTATTCGACCACAAGTGTTCATGTCACTCGGCCAGGCATCGGGGATGGTTCTCACCTCTGTCAACAGGAGTGCATGGAGAGCCCAGTTCGGCTCACAACAGCAAGAATTATTCTCAAATATCACTCTCAAATTGAGATCATCGTACGCAGTTCCGCCAAGAGTCAGTCTGCACCAGACGAAGTGTCGGCGCTGCTTTGGACACATCCGAGCCTCGGGGTGCAACTCTCTTTGAAGCAGCCCTAACACAGAAGTGTGTCAGGGCAGCGGCTGCTCAACATGTCCTCTGCGGCATCGCGATCGAAGGCAAAAACAGAAACCTCTGGCAATTTCGAAGCACATCACATCAGCTGCACGTGCGGGCAGGGCCCCTTTTGAAGCGATGCCTCAGAGGAAAGCTCGTTGACGACGTAGGCGTACGGGAGCGTCGGGTGGAACCTCGGCTTTCACCATGGCCAACCCCCCGACAGGCCGAGCCCCTGCCGTCCCAAGGCTCGGGCTCGATATACCGTGGGCCAAGGGCAGACTTGCTCTCGGGACCCGACCTCCCCGAAGCACTCATTCAGACTCGACATTCTCAAAATGCAGTCGACTGCGTGTTGAAATAAATCAAGAGTGTCGGGGCCTTATGGGGGGATTTAGGCCCTGAAGGCCGACTCCAAGAAAGCCCACACGCGCTCAAGTTGGGCAGAGTTCCTCCCTCCTCGACTGGGCCCTGCACCTGCAGAAGCCGGCGGCCTCCAGCTTGCCGCTCTGGGGGTTGAACCTGGCCCAGCCGGTAGGGAGGCTCTTCGCTTCCGAAAACCAATCTGGTGGAGCTGGGGTTGGCCCTGCAGGGTTTGCTTCTTAGCCTCACTTTCCTGCGAGCAGATTCTTGGTGTGGCACATGACATGGCTGAGGTGAGGCTGAAGCATTCCACATGTCTGAGATGAAGTGGGCTCAACAGGTGCACCTGAACTGGCGAATGAGATCCATACCTCATCACAGTCAGGACAGGCCACTGGAACTGAGGAAAAACAGAGCTGCAAGCACTTTCAAGCGTTTGAGGAACCTGCCCAAATCAGGCACGTACGCGATCTGGCCGAAGAACCTGGGCCCATGCAGACTGCTTGCTATGTTTGCTCTCTGCTCTGCTCTGTTTCGAGTTCGATAAAACTTCAACTCTCAAACGGGGCGCACTACACTGTGGAGCTACGAGTACACTTCTGACCATTGCAGCTTTTGGCTTGTCCTGAATCTTGTGGAGACCTTCCGTGGCCTCCCCTCGCGACAACATGACAAGCATTACCACTCCCTAGCCTGCAGGCTGTGGTGCCCACGTAGGATGCGCCGTACTGTGCCACAACGGACTCTCACGGATCGACGAACTTTCCAAAGACTTTCACAGCCATGAAATAACCCTGCTTCATACAAGAAAACCAAGGTTCTTTGCATCTTTCCGACTATTTATGAGTGCACGAGGACTCCAGGTGTACACTGCAGGCATAACCTTGAACACTGAGAGAGAGAGAGAGCTCTGATGGCTGCGCGCTTCCTGCACTGGGGCTACCTGCGGGTCCAGAATGACTGCGTGAGAGTGCCTGGCAGGGCAAGTGCCAGCTGAGGGGCTCCGGCTGGAGTCTCCCGGGCTCACACTAACTGCCAAGAACACGGGAACCCTTGCATATGACCAAGCCACCCCCGATAGGAGCTCACACTAACAGAGGGCACATCACAACCGGACCCTTTGGGATGTCTGAGGATGCCACGGATCGCTCTGCCTCTCCTTCTGCGCATTCGGGTCGTTCTCTGAATGGTTCACATGCCTGGTGTGGCTGACCTCGGGTTTGGACTCCAGATTTGATCTGTGGCCGAACTTCTGCAAAAAATCGCAATAGCAGCACTCATCATAATAACTCGACGAAAGAGCAAAGCTCACGGCCAGCAAGGGACCAAGGCCTGAAGCTGTGAGCCGGGCTTTCATTCCTCGGCCCTCATTGGGGTCAAAGATACTTCGGTGCTTGCCCACCAAACCGGAATCCCTGTCGAGACCTCGGTGTGCACAGATGACAGGTGGTCCGGCGTGACATGCTGGCACAATATATATATACGCTCCTTAGCCACAGCCCAGAAAACTGGCACATCACCGCGGAAGCGAGAGCTTCAATCAAGCCTGACGATGGGGACCATGACCAGCCGAGGCAGGAACCAAAAACGCCGATGGTGGCATTCCAATAGTTGACGACGAGCAAGTTCTCGCAGCCCTGAGTGCCCACAGAGTGAAAGAGTAGTACTGACTGCCTGACTCTACAGCGTTACTCTGCGGAAGTCCACCTTGTCCAGCGTCAAGTAGCATGTCGAGGTGCCTCCAGCATCCTGACCTCAGGCCGGAGCACTGGCGCAACAACGTTCCAAAGGCAAAACTAACACACCATTTGCACGCTAGGGGCATGTGATGCTTGAGCCACCATCGGTGGCGATATAGATCAGCTGAGCTCATCAAGCAGGAGGCAGCATGTCGTGTGATAAAAGATGCTCTGTCACACTCAACATCCTGCACATGAGATTCTACACGAGTCCCCCTCATATTGCCATATTCTTTGAGGACTTCGGGCTGCAAAGGTTCCCGGGTAGGATGAAACGCAACAGTCTGTCTACAAACGGAACAATCTGTGGACTCACAGCAATACAATCAGAATCATTTTAGTTGTAGCGACAGCAGTAGTAGCAACGGCAGTGGGCCGTGGTAAGACCAACCCCCGAATGCAGAATTTCAGGTAAAAAGCTCGGGAGGGGTGGTTTAAAGCCTATTCTCCCTGAGCGCGGTGCTTCCCACCTTGGACAGCTTACCCGTGCTAGCATCCACGGAGTATGTCACCTGGCTAAGCGGTGACCGTGGAAATCTGATCATCTACCACCAACGCCTACATTGATGAAGAGAGCCGCCGTCTTCCTCACTTTATTTGCGCTCGCACACCGTGCTTCTCGTGACATGGGTCCTCAATGCAAGTAGTTGTCGCGGGTAAACACAAAACCTTCCACACAATCCGAGTATAAAAAGCCAGAAGCTTTCACAGCCCTCCGAGGTAGTCGCAATCTCGCCGTTCTCTGCCACTGACTCCGTGCAGGTGTACAGCAGATTCCTGACATTGGCGGACCAGCTCATGCTCGGATCATGGCGAATAAGAGGGGAGGAGTATGTCGACTCTCAGATCCTTGCCAATGCGGAGGTCGTGCAATGCTCTAGGCTTGCAAGTAATAAGGTGTAGTTTCGATCTAAACGATCCGACACAACACGACAAAGCACGAATCCAGGATGCCTCTTTGCATTGAATCTGGAGAAGGCTGGATTCATGACCTGGGGCTGGAGCGTACTTGGCATTCCAACCGGTCTTGACAAGTTGCTTAAGTTTGGTGACTCCTGGCTTAAAGTGGAAGCAGCTGCACTGCACTTGAACACCGGCAGCTCGAGCAACTGTCAAAAAGCATGTTTCTGGGATGCTGGCACTGTCGTCTGTCGTGACAGAGAACAATACCAACTCCCTGAGAAGGCCAAGCACAGATGTAAGCAGATCAAAACTGAGCTGTCTCTGATGTAACTAAGTTCCTGCCATCACGGTCCAACCGGCTTTCCGACGGAACGTCACACCAAGTCCGTACACGCTCAACCCTGTTTCCAGTGAGCCCTGAACGTGAAAGCGAGCTGCCTTGGGCCACTGGGCCTGAACCCTGAGCTAGGCTCCCTGCCCATCGTTCTCATCTAATCGGAAGGTGTACAAACTCCTCTTGGCCTTGCCAGGAATCACGTTACACTCTGGTATGTCTGTGAATTTGGGACAGCGGTTGCATGGAGGGGGCTACGACCAGTGTCTTGCCCGGAGCTTTGACCGCTCTTCGTCAAGCATGAACTCGTTTGCCGTGAATTGGGACCGGAATCTCCACGCCACACGTGGCAGTCATTCTGCACCGCGGCTGTTCTTTCGCTGCGGAAATCCGCTGCTTTCCGTTGGACCCATTATGTTGCAACCTGCCAGACTTCACTCGCTCATAGAATAAACTACAAGTCCTCATGTCACAGATTTTACCCCCAAACAGCGGGGCCCCTGCCTCAGTTCCACGGGGACCATGCGCCAGGTTGTCCTGGCACGGTCTATAGGCAGCAACAAAAAAAACCTGCCCGACTATCAGCTTAAGCTTCGAGGTTCAAGGTCTGGATTCTCCTGATAAGCACAATCTGGGGTCAGGACATGTTCCAAATCCGGAACCTGATACGACAATGGTTGAAGCTTTGTTCATCAAGTCCTTTGGAAGGCTTCTTTCGTGATGGATCCTCCTGCGGTTCCCAGCGCATCATCAGCATCCAATCCGCAGGTCCTACCCTGAATATGAGCTGTAACCAGAAGCCGTTCCGGACAGCTGAAATCACCATGCCAGGAATGCGAAGCGTGTGTAGCACGAGACGACGATGAGTTCGTGACTGGCTGGCACGACCACCCTGAAGTCGCGGATTTCGAAGGCTTTTAGAGTGTGAAAGACGGGCTACAGAACTTGCTGTTTCCTTAGCTTGGGCTCCGAAAAGCAACTCAACGCGGGTCACATACGCATGCACAAAAGAAAGCTCGAGAGGCTGACACAGCCACTTTCTGAGCGCAGCACTCACTCGCCTCCTGCAAGCCATCCGAGCAGCACATTCATATACAAGCAAGCTCAACAACGAAGGTTACAGATGCTTGCGAATTGATGGCACCCCGGTTCGCACTTCGTTTCTGCCTCGGCTTCGGCTGTCAATTGCCAGTCCCTGTCATTGCTGCGCCCGAGGTGAACATGGCCAGAAGTTAGAAGGAAACCCGATACAAACCTCTCGAATCTCAGGACACCCCCTCTGCGAAACCGAACCCTGCACTCCCATCTGAGTAGACAGGTAAGGAAGACTTGCAAGACAAGCCCAAGCGGCCGAGGAAGAGGGCGCGGAGCTGGTCGACGGCAGAGTGACCACCCCGGGCCTGACAGAGGTATTCGTGGATGCCGAGGAATTCTGCTAGTGGGACTTGTAGGACTTGCAAAGCCGATTGCGGAGGGCATGGAGCTCAGGGGATCCAATGCCCGTGGATCCGTTGAGGCGTTGTGGGGAAGCATGCCGATTATGCATATGTGTATATATATATATATGTATATATACATATGTATATATACATATGTATATATATATATATATACATATTGTAAACTTTTCCTAAATATCGAGAACCTCCACTTTCGCTTGCCGGCTTGGGGCTGCTGGGTCGCCGGACAGTTGCGGCTCGCCAACCGTGGTTGGAGCCGGACCAGCAGGTCCACCTGGAACGTGCGAGGTTTCAATCTCGCAGAGCTTCGCGAAAAGGGTGATTTCGCAAACAACCAAGCGCAACATCTCGAAACCAGAAAGACGCATCGAATCTTAGAACGGGCAACATCTCAAGCGAAGCGGGAGTCCAGCTTTTCGGGTGCCAGAAACCCATGCAGATTCTCTTCACCCACGCGATTCGGAAGCGATGCTCTTTGTTTGGGCAACTCAAAAATCGTCTTCGGATGACAAATACAAGGCCGAACCTCAGGAAAAGCTACCTGGCACTGGCACGTGCACTTTTCACCGTTCAGTGGTTGAATTGCTTGTCTTCGTCTTCAGTCACCAGCAAGAGTCTTCGTGAACATCTTCACATGTTTTGGCGGACGTTTGGTGCCGACAACAGCGATCCGCCAGATTTAGTGAGGGATGCTGAGCCGGCTGCAGTGGACACTATGCGAAAATGTAGCTGAACAGCTTTCCGGCTCATCCCTGATCCGAACAAGAGGATAAAGCGACTACGACCGAATTCGACCAGCAAGCTACCTCAACATCACTGCTTCAGCGCCTATGCTGCGTGCATGCTCCTGAGAACAGGTAGACCAGGACACAATCGTTGAAGTCAATGGGGCTCGACATTAAACCACATCTGCACGGCTGTCCGAAGGCAGTGATGTTGCTGCCGGTGCAATTTGTTTCTGGAGGGATACAGCATCGGTGCGAGGGTTATCTGCCGGCTGAAATCGTGAACTTCTAGCTGGCTCTCAGGGCGCAACAGGCAGAAAGGACAAGAAGTACTATGATTTGAGACCGTGCAGTGCAGGTGTCTTCAAAGCAGGCAGCGACTGCCACTGCACAGTCAGAGCGCTCGCATTGCTTGCGATCCACTCAGGCTGCAAACGACAGTCCAACTCTTGAGCTGGCGCTGGTTCCACCAATACGTATCATCACCACCACCACGGCCAGCATCATCATCATCGTCATCATCATCAACGTCTGCAGCATCAACTACCAACGACACAAAGGATAGAACGGAGCAGAATGCAGACAGTCAGCAGCAGCAAACTCTGTGCTGCGTCAGGAGGCTCCCGGTCCGAATACAAGCCGGGCATGCTGATCGTGGATTCCAGGTACGATTGCGCACTCATCTGGCCAGGAGCAACTGATGTGAAACTCAATGCAATCAGCAGAACCTATAGCCTATAGAAGTGTCAGTGGTGCACGCAGGAGGCCAAAGTCTTAACAGAGCCGCTCACGGCGTGCCAAAGGTTGCAGGCAATGTTACGTCCTATTCTCCTGGCATGTCCGATGAATGTGAGGCACCTTGAACGAAAGACGGCTTTGTCCAAGTCTGCACGGCCACCTCGGAGGACCAGAGGAGCTTTGTTCAGCAGGATGTTGTCCAATGTTCCTTTGTCCCAGTTTTGGCCCTTGGTCCGCACTTACCTTGCATGCAAAATGCATTCGCATGAGACGAAAACTCCAGGACGTTCCTAGCTTCAGACCTTGTCCATCGGCTTGCTACCGGGTGCGAACTTGTCGGCTTCCCTCGACTCAGGTCCTAAGACTTGGAACAAAGCTTCCCGATGTTGACACAGCGGCACCAATTTGCAGACCCGACGACATTGAAAGCCGGACCAAGCAAAAACAGCTCGATGGTCACATGTAGTCATAAAGAACCCAGCTCCTGGAACGAAAAGCAGAGCGGTTGGACATGCGTGCTTCCCCACAAGTCGGTGTGTCTGCCCGACCAAACTGGACGAGCACTCGTGTGTTTTCCAAGTCGAACACCAAGCCGTGCACCCTGCGGTCTCAGAACCGAGGCTTCTGCCAAGCTTGATCTCGGAACGGAAGAGTGCTGTGCTTGAGCCGAGCCGAGTCGCGTGATGTGTACTGACTGTATTGGGGCAAACTCAGGCTTTGGCCTTGATGTCTGCAAAGTGCAAAGTTGCATCGTTTCTCCGGAGCGTCAGGGCACGCCTTGTTTGCATGTCTTGACGAGTTGCTACGACTTGGATTTCCAAGCCTTGATGCTTGAAGCCACATCTACTGCCCGGAGGGTTTCTAGGCCTGCGTCTGACCATACAACCGGAATATCAACAACACAAAAGCCAAGCTCAACAAGGACTTGGAGGTCTAATCAGTCTAATCTCGCAGTCCTCGGGGCCCCCCAGGCGAAGGCGAGACTCCAAGCTTGAAAACGTCGGCCCTAGATAAAACGGAATGTCTCAGCCCGGGCGCCGGTAGAACTGCGCCGTCCTAGGAAAAGGCCTCTTGGAGGTCGGACTCGCTTTGGGCCCCGGCCTTGCAGGGGCGAAGGACCGAGGCTTGGAGCTGACTCAACACCGAAGTCTCTCAAGTCTACTAGGAGTATAGTAGTACTTATTGCTGTTATTGCTGCTACTACTACTACTACTACTACTATGACGACGACGACGACGGCTGTAAATCCCGGGCTTTGGCAGACCCGGGGATCAATGAAGTCATCACGGGACATCCTGGTACATGGAGGCTCAACTCAGCAACCCAAACGCAGCAATCATTTGCCTACTTTCTTTCCCAAGGTTTTCACAGGCTTGGGCCTCAAAGCCCGGCACCCACTATCAGCGAGACGGGCAAGCAAGAACCTAAACTAGCTTCAGAAACCGGACAAACCAGAAATACCAATACCGCTGCTCAGACTAGAAAACATTAAAAATACAATCCTCAGATGGAAAAAAGGGAAAAAGAGTGAAACAAGTAGTGAAAAGAAGAAACACAGAAGAACAAGAAAGAGTTAAAGCAGCAGTAGAAGGGTCATGAGAGATTCTTTCAAATCACAATCACAACATAATAGCGGTATATGAGTACGACAGTACAGAAGCACCTGTACCTGAACCTTCCATTCTACACCAAAGGGCGGCACTCCGCAGCAACAACAGGGCTGCAAACAAAGCACCAACACAGAAGCAGCACCGGTCATCCACTAAACCGAACCTCGCCAGAAGCTTCTGCGCCATGCCAGGTGCTTTGCCGGCAGACTGCAAGTCGCTCCACCGCAGTGGCGATTTTTGGGTCCCTGAGGATGCATCTAAACATGAAAGCAACAAGCCCGTTGAGGTTACTGGCGTAACTGAGCTGCTACTGGGTGACTTGCTGCTGGACACAATTATCTACAATACTCCCTTGCACACCACTCAGACCTCGAAACGGTCAAACGCACTGCGTGTGCGGACGACAGCGCAGCGACAGGAAAGACCCAAACAAAACTCCTTTCCGAAAGGGCACCGCTGGCGGAAGCCGCACGCATCGACCCGGCTTCGGGGCCATCTTCCTGCGGACTGGACGGCCGCCTCGGAGAAGCTGCAAGGAAAACTATCGGTTTCTCCATCCGGTGCTTATGCGAAGGATGCGCTGAGGTGTTGTGCAGATTTTATGACACATCAGATGGGCATGGGTTCAATCCTGAAACAAACCGTCCAATCGCAAAACAAGGAGTGGCTTTGCGGGCTCATTCTACGATCTGAGGCCCAGATTAAATAGTCCAAACGAAAACCTGCACCAGCACCGAACATCGTCATCATACGCTCGACGGGGGACCGAACAAATGCACTCTCTCACATTATCACCTGGCTTACTTCCCTAGATGAAACACCAGGCATAATGTATAGTCAAGAAGTAAGCCACCAATGTCCGGCTTCCCCCCCAAGATTTTGATCACAGCCGCACAAACCAACAAACAAATCTGCGAAAACAGCTTTTGAACAAAAAACCTTACAGGTCAGGTGAATGAGGACTTGAATTGCCTCACAGCTTCATATCCAGCCATAGGTATGGCTATACTTGTACCGGTATTTCGTGGAAACACCGCAGAACCCTCGTTAGAGAAGAAGCCACGACGAATAAAGAGGCACTCCTAAGCTGCAGGAAAAAAGACGCAATCTAATCAAGGAGGACTTTGAAAAGTCCTCACATTCATCTGCTCGAGTGTGCTTCCGGGATCTGGTCCATGCCCGTATGTCACCCTGTAGAAAGTACATGCGGCGTACGGATGACCTACAGTGACTAGAGCCACATACGTCGAGCATAAAATAAAACTATGCAATATTATCAGTAGTCATCGTAACAAGAATACTAAAAGCGCATTGCGGGGCAGTGCTTGGCACGATGGAAGCAAAGCAGTTCTAGGCAACATGACCGATTGTCATTCTCATTCCAATTGCGAGTATCCGAATACTGCGACGTTTTTCTCACAAGTAACCTCGAAAGTAGAGCAGAATCAACCTCTGTGAAAAAAGGACCACAAAGAATCACGATGTCAATGTCCGCAGAAACCCTCCGCGAGGCTGTCACATCGAGGGAGGATGTGCAATCGTTATCAAAACGACCATGGAAAGGGCCAGGACACCAGCTCTGTCTGCTCGCGGGGCAGCTGCCGGTTCTTGCACTTGTTGGTGTTGTGCAGCTCCGGCAAGCCCTGTTTGGCAGCAGCCAAAACAAGAAGTTCCGCTACAAACTGCCAGCATCCAAGCCAAGCTGGCAGCCAGTGTGACAAGTCTAGGAGATTTTTTGTTGCAGGCGCTCTGTCTAGGCACAGAGGTCAACTGCACTCAGCACTGCAACCATCACGCCATCCATTTCCAATCCTATGACACTGAAATCTGCAAGCTTTCAAAACCGCGGCCTTAACTCTTGCCGCAGACGTTCGACTTCGTCCTCCCGGATTTGTACGATTTGAGGCTTGAGGTCTTTCCGGTCAAGATGCTGTTGGCTGCCAAAGTTCATCTTAGAACACCTGAGCCAATGTTCAGTCTATGGAATTGGTTCGGTGGTTTGGCTGTTTGGAAACTCATAGCATCATAGACCCTCGTTTGCTGGGTTCGGTGTCCTCAGCCTCCTGTCTCTTGCGCCGCTCGGCTTCCACCTTCGGAGAGTTCCGGGTTCGGAGTGAAGGCATGCATCGAGTGGAAGGAGGGCATCAATCGACACAGACACGGAGCTTGCCTCATCCGAGACGTTCAGGCAAGATTCCAGCTCAGGAAGTGCGAGCACAGCCTGTGGAAGTTGCGAGAATTCCCTGCTTGGAGACTTGGAGCTGGCCAGCTGCAGGCTACTGCACAAAGAACACTACAGTACTAAGTCATTACTACACGCAGGCAGCCTCAGCTGGTGCTCCAGCTGTGGCTTTGGACTTGTGCGCGCGCAAGGAAATCCCGGCCTCAAACTGAAGAGATGAAACTTGTAAGGCTGTACATGCACAAGACGATTACCGTGCTGGGGTTGTGGCAGGCTTCAAGTTCCACACGTCCGCGAGGTGTGCTAAAGCCTCCCGCTGCATCTCGTGAGCCTAAAGCAAGCACACAGAGACATGGTCTTCAACTTTGCTCCTGCAAAAGCAGCATGATGTTGCAATCAAGCCGCTGTCAAGATCTCCTTGTCCAAATCCTTCGGTGCCTGCGGCAATCTGGACATCGCAAAGCTGTCAGTCAACGCCACCTCTGTTGATTCCGGCGTGCCTTGCCACGTCGACGGACTGGAAGGCCAGGCTGGTGCACGACTTCCTTGACAAGGCTCCGTGTAGAGAGCAGCCGGCCGAGATAACGGCTGACTGAAACACGCTCGTCATGCATGCGAACAGTTCCACAAGACAACATGTGCATTGCACGCCAAGCCACCCAGCGGTAAGGGACAGGTGACGCAGCATGTGCTGGACCCGATCGGCTGAAAGGACCCAGCTCTGCCGTTGCACGCTGCTTCCAACCTCAAACCACATGCTGGTGCACTGTTCATGTCTCCAGCCAGAAAAAACTTCTGTGTCAAGCTTTCTGTACCAAAAGCTTGCCTAACTGAGCTACGAACACAGCTGATCTTGAATTGGGCTGACCCGGGTAGGGCCCACCTTGTCAGGCAAAACACACGATTAAACGGGTCCCGAACCAAAAGCTGATCGTAGTGAACCTGAAACGTGGCTTCCCGGTAGAAGGACATGTGCTCCCTGCAGCGCTAAGTGCGCTCCATGGCAAGCAACATTGCAGGTTCAACGGTTGGGCCACATGTCCTTCGCGAACAAAAAGATGCTAGTTTTGTTGTCTCGGTGTGTGGATGGCCCGGAATTGACATACTGGTTAGCTAATTTGACCCCGACATGGGTAAATCAGCGAGAAATGAC